AGAATGTCATAGTGATTTTCATCAATAACAATGAGAGCCCCAGGCGTGAAGGATACTTTACATCCTATCTGGGTACCAACCATTTCTCTACAAGCTTTCCTATTTTGAAAGCAAGCAGGAAAGAGCCTGGTTCAGTTTTTCAGGGCCTCATCAATACTTCAGATGCTCTGTGGACTCCTCTATCTTAGATGCTAATTGTTTTTATTTGGGACTAACACCTTAAATTCATCCTTCATGTCACTGTCTTTAAAACTGGCTCTAAGAGATGAACTTTCCGAATCACACACGGAGGTTTAATCCCTCGATTCCCATTACTGCCAAGAGCTGTGACTGGAAATCCCTCTGCAGCTGACCCCAAATTTACCCCTTGGTGTTGAAAGTGCCAATTAAATAATAAAACTGAAGCCGTGGTCAGATGTAATTAGTTTGAGAATAGAGTTTTACAATGTGCCTCATGCCAAGCAAACAAGTTAACCGTTCCAACGACAGACACAACGATTTGGACAGAGAGTACCGAGTTCTCAGATCAGAACTCCTCTGTGTTGCTAGTCAGGATGTGCCCTTCTGGGAACGGGAAACCGTGGAAACAAATGCCAGCTCCAAATGGTTGAAAATGCAGTTTCTGTGGCCAGGCTTCCCTCCCCTCCCTCCCTTACGTTAAAGAATGTCTTTCAAGACTCTGGTTGGTCTAGGCGTGACTGAGAGCGAGGTGTGTTTTGAAATAGGATTCTGACAGCAATAGACTCCAATGGTGTTACCAACAAGTTATCTGACAGAAAGGCAGTTATGGTTTGGAAGGTTGCCCACTTCTGAAAGAGTACTGCTCTCAGCGGTCCCTAGTAAGGACAAGTCCCCTGTCCTAGCCACCTTTGGGAACTAGGTGGGTTTCCTGGTTGGCCACCTCTGCTTGGCTGATGAGAGCTGAACTGAGCTGGCCAACCTTTTGTGTGTTTTCTCTCTAGACCGTGGGGACTGTGTCACGGGTCACAGTGGCTAAGATACCCGAACCTGAGGATACGGACTGGATCAGGTCAAAAAGTCATTTTGTGTCTGTTATTTCTGCTTCTTCAGCTTGGGGAGGAGAAGGAAGAGGGAGGGAGGTAAGAAAACAAGGCTGGCATCCTCACCTACGTAGGTACCAGGTCACGGTCCTAGCCACCGCTGGTCTAATATTTTAGCTCAATCCAGAATTCCATTATTACCTCAAGCAAGTATTGCAAACACGATTCTACCATGTTGTTGAAGTTGGAAAAGCCTGGCACAAGAAGAAGAGCTGACTTGTGCCATGAAAGAGTGTCCATTACAGCAGAATCTCGGGGCTGCCACTCGAGCAGGCATCTAGCCATGCAATGGCCAACAGGAACCTCTCCTCTCTGCTTTCCTCATCAGCACTCTTCAGCATACCCCCCAAAATGTGTGGGGGGGGGGGGAGAAAGGAAGGATATATTTGGGTAAGGAAAATGAAGTACTGAACGTCAACATTAATGATAACGATATCAGACTTAACGATGATGACCCATGGAGGCTACAGAGAAAGCACTGGGGATGGAACACAGTGCGGGGAGCTACAGCATGTGTGAGGCCCCTAGATCAACGCCTGGAAGAAGGTAAAGGAAGGAACAAATAAACAAATGAGGGAAAAGAGAGAAAGGAAGGAAGGAAGAAAGGAAAGATTCAAATGGCCTCTAAATCAATTCCAAGCTGGGAGCCAGAATCCTGCGTTGAAAATATTTCAACTCTAAAGTCTCCTTGTAAAATATTAAGAGAAACTGGTGAACTTCTTCTTTTTTTAATGTACAACTCGATTTCTCTCACGTACAACATAAATCATTTAATGTGTTGTTTGCAACCTTAGAAAGGCAGACATATTCAATCCAAGTCCGTTTATAAATTCCAATTTCGTATGGATTAAAAACTACAGATAAATTAAGTCACAATAATATCCTGTGCATGCATTAAGGCTGGCGACTGCTAAGGTCTCTGGAGTATCTACAAATAGGAAATCACAACGCAGATCACTGGGGCTGAAGAGTATCTACATCATTAAAAAAAAAAAAACTTGCATTTTTTTCCTCTCTTTTTCTTTTTTTGGCGATACAGATTTCAATGGTAACTCTGGAAAACTGTGAAAAATGTTATTTAAAAAATATATATGCATATGCTACTGCACAGTTTTAAGGATGTGATTCATAGATAATGTCGCTGCATTGACTGGTTTTATAACAAGGTGATGTGGACACGCAGTGACTTATACTCAGTATTAGGCACTAGTAATATCTGTCAGGCGTACTACAGGTCTGTCAGCGGTACTGTAGATATATATTTTTAAATGTATGCACTTATACAGAATACGTCTATTTTGTACGGGTGTCAGAGAGGCACACATCACTCTTATACAGCACACACACCATTGCTGCAGATACAGGATACACTTTAGTGCAGAAGGTCTCATTGCATTGCATACCATGTGTTTAATGTAGCACATAACTTGTCACCTGTTTAGTGTGTATTTCCAGTACATTCCTCTCAGGAGTGGGTCCAAGTTCCCATTTGCAAAGTGAACATTTCCAGACACACCTGTCCTAAGCAAACCTTTCTGTCCGGGCTCATCTGCGCAGGACACTCCTATATGCAGAGTACTAAGGCTGAAGTTTGTTAGGGTCACCTGTAAGCCACCCCATTTCAAAGGTTAAGTCTAACATTGTGACAAGAGGTGGCATCTACTCAGGTCATGGGAGAGAAGACCAGTTGGACTTTGGTGGAACGTCTTCAAATAGAAACAAGGGGTAACAAGTGTTAGTTTAAATGGAAGCCCTCTGGAAGGATCCTTCCAGATCTGTGATGGCTGAGCAACCACAGACTTACATCTTCTACACTTAGGCATTATTTGCATCCCTAGAATGAGCATGTAGGACTTGTATAGATGTACGATGTGTCAATTTGCAAGCCAGCCTAAGAAAAGGAACATGCAATGGAGGACTTCCATGGTATCCAATGGAAGATGGCTCCTTAACAGAATTATAAACATGGAGTCCCATCAAGTGGAAGATGGTTTCTTCATAAAATTACCTATCCTGGGCCTGACACACGCTCCATGGATGGGGTGAGACAGGGACAGGAGCTTTACGCTCTGACTGTGTCTCCAGAAGACCAGTTTCTCCACGTTTATATTTTTTAGCAGGAGTGGGGGCAGCTCCCAGTGTGTTCATCACATCTGCACTGGAACAACCAGCCAGCGGCCACCTTTGCAATTTGATGGGGCTTTCCAGGGATGCGGACTGCATGAGTGTCACAACTAAGCCTATAAATTTGGAGAGAGGCAGGACCAGAAAAGCTCCCCAAGGTTGCGCAGAAGCCCTTGAAGGCATCCCTCTATGTGAGAGTTTGAACTTTTCACCAGATTTCACCGAGAGCAACTAGAACAAAGTCCCACTCCTGCACAAAAGGTGATTCAAAAGTTCTTATATTCAGATTTACACATAGGATAGATCACAAACCTGCCAACACTTAGTGAAAGGGGTACATGGATCGCGCTGTAGAGATAAATATAAACGTAGAAATGGTGGGGCGTTCTCATTTCAAGAATCTGAAACCCAAACTGCTCTGAAATTGACAACTCCTTGAGCAGTGATAAGATGTTAGTGGTGAATCCCATACCTGCATCATGGACATAGCTTACAACCGATGCTGCAGACGCTGCCTTCATGGATACAAGGTACAGATGAAACATAAATAAATTTCATGTTTAGACTTGAGTCCTCTCCCCCAAGATACCTAATTATGCATCCACAAATAGTCCATCTTAAAAAAAAAATCTGGCTCAAAACATCCGAAGTCCATGTACAGCTAAAAATTTCAAGTGTTTGAGGGTCAAAGCCAAATGCAAATCCCGTAATTCAGTTTGGTAGGAATCCAAACCACGGTCAGCTGGTTTGTACAATGTTGAATCTGCTTTGGGAGCTGGGGAATGAGGGCAGTCTTATCTGCCACCTACTGAGAAGGCTGACAGAATGGTTATGTGAACAGAACTAAATCCACAGGGAGACGGTGGAAACACAGGACACACACTGTGGGACCCTGCCACCTTCAACAGTGGAATGCAGAGATGGCCTTACCTATCTTCCTCTGGTTGACGTGGTAGAGTAGGGACAAGTAAACCCAAGGACATTAGTTTGTCTTTAAAGTGTGGCAAGATACACCTTGTTGGCAGGACTTGTTTCTTTATACTAATATTTTAGGTCCTCGTATATTTGACAAGAATACTAAGTCTAAGGTATGACAAAACATGAGAAAACAAACTTCAGACAAAAACTGTAAACAAGATGCTGAAAAACTAAATACATAAACTCAAAAAAAAAAAAAAAAACCCAGCGACAACAACAACAAAAACCAACCCAGAAAAAGAACCATGGTCAAGACACACACAGACTAGATGCTCAAGATATATGCAAGACACTCGGGTCGTTGCTGCTCCAGAGTTGTGATCATCAAAGGGACCACTTCCCCTGCACTGGAAGCAGCTTGTTAATGAAAGCCTGCAAAGCATTCTCCAAACTGAGATGCACTTGGGCCTGGAGCCACCCACTGTGTGCGGACAGTGTCACCGCGGCAAACCGCTCCCAGTCTTGTAGGCAGCGGTCAGATCTAGAGATGGCACCGTCTTCGTTTGGCCGAGACAAGGTGCGAGAAAGCTACTGTAGAGAGGAAAGACTTGAGATGCGCTGGCTGATGACAACAGCCACACAGAGTCACAGTGGCAGCAAGAGGAGGCCCCTGTGCCTGGAGGGCTTCTTGCCACAGGGGCGGGCTTTATTAAGAACCAAAATGAGCCGGGCGGTGGTGGCGCACGCCTTTAATCCCAGCACTCGGGAGGCAGAGGCAGGCGGATCTCTGTGAGTTCGAGACCAGCCTGGTCTACAAGAGCTAGTTCCAGGACAGGTTCCAAAACCACAGAGAAACCCTGTCTCGAAAAACCAAAAAAAAAAAAAAAAAAAAAAAAAAAGAACCAAAATGGTCACTGTTGCTTTTGTGGTTGTTGAGCTATCCCCAAATCCTGGTGCCATTTTTATACCATGTGGGGACAAGGCAAGGGAAGTTTGTGGGACTCCGCTGGCTTATAATGTGTTCAGTTCAGTAGCTAATGAGGGCCGGGGGAGGGTATAAGAAGAGGGGCAAGGCATTTGGTAACATGCAAACTAGTGAACTTCTGGCACAAAAATAACTGACTTGTTTCCATTATTCAATTACTCATTAATATACAACAACCAAAAGTAATTGGGGAATTGTATATAATACTGAAAGTAATAATATAAGAGCTAGGTTAAACTCATCCAGCAGTTATGATTTGGTGTGCTGGATCGCACCAGGTTCAGCAACACATGAGATTTTGGTGGAACTGTCTAAGAAGGCAATGGCTTAGCACTGGGGGTGGGATGTGTCTGTGAGAGCGTGAGCACACACGTGCTATGTGGATTTCCTCCAGTGAGGAACCTCTAATCACTTGTCTAGCTTGGGATTATAGGAACCGGACAAAACGTGTTTTGAAGAGCTGTTGATCTTACACACACACACACACACACACACACACACACACACACGCAGAAAGCTTCGTACAAACCCACACCTAACACACATGCCCCATAAAAGAATCACTGTTGGACTCTGAGGAAACGTTCACCGTGGTTTGGGAAATGCTGTGGGCTGGGAATGTCAGTAGCACAGTGTCCAGAAACATTGAGCCACCGAGGAGAGGAGAACGCAGTCTGGCTCAAGGGCATGGTCCCTAGGACAGGTGCGCGCTGCTCCGCAGCCAGTGCAGGCCTTGCTGGGAGTACTGGACCAGGTGTTCCATGCTGCTGTGCAAGGTGACAGGTCCCATGAGCAAGTCCAGGTCATTGAAGAACTCTAGGAGACAGAGAGACATGTGATGGGGGAGGTCAGGGCCTGGATAACTTCAGAAAGAATCCGCTCATCACTTTACGCATTCTCCATTGTTTATGTGGCTCGGCATCTCCCGGGAACAAAATAAAACCCCACATCCCAATAAATGACTGTTTATGGGCTCAAATAGCAAAAGATCTGTATGTTCCAACTACCTTCTTCCGGTAGATAGACGCCTTTCCTCCATGTCTGTGTGACCCAGCTCTCCATTATCCCACCACCAACTGTCACGGCCTGAGCCCCTGAAGGGGGTCCAAAGAGTGGGGCTCCAGGGCAGTCAGGGGTCAGTCAGGGGTCAGGACCAAGCAGCCACCACTGCTGAAGCTGCGTTCTAACTTGGGACAGTCTCTGTTTGCTGGTCTCCTTTATTTTGTACCTAGGTATTTTCTGGGAAAAGTGGGTAGAGGAAGGGAAGGACAAGCCAGATGAATCCTCATGCCCTGCTATCATGGGTGAATCACAGTGCTTCTCGGAAGGAAGTGTCCCAGGCCACTTAGTGTATATGTATGTGTGTTTATATATATACACACACACACACACACAGAAAGAGAGAGGGGGGAGGGGAGGCTCAAGAGAGACTGAGCTCTGCAGGTGGCTGGGAGAAGGAATCCAGGCACAGGACAGAGGAAGAACAGGACAGGTCAGGGTACGGGTGAACAGGACTCAGTGTGTACCCTACACATGTCACTGAGACTTCTGGTAGGAGGCACCTGACAGGTGGTGGGCAGTGTCATCTGGAGCCTGGCTCGCTCGCGGTCTCCTGGACTGCAGAAGACTGTCCCTATACATCTGCCTGCTTTGCTTGCCCACCTGAAATATCCATCTCGGTCCACTCCAGCCATTGAACTCTGTCTTTTTCAAAACCGTCTTCCATGTAAGTTCTTCTAGCAAGCTTCTCCTGGGGGCCTGAGGCCTCCTAGCATTTCCACTGGACTTTCAACCTTGCTTGCCCTTGTGGGTTTATACTATCCTATGATTATTACTATAATCCTGCCAGAATGTGAGCTCGATGGGTAGTCTTTCCTATTGCTGGAGGGCGAGGAGCGAATTGTTCAATTTTTATATATCAAGACACAATGGGGTATGGCAGCTCATGCCTGCGATTACACTCCAAAGACTGAGGCCGGAGGATTATCATGAGTTTGTGGCCAACCTGGGCTACATGGCGAGTCTGAAGCCAGCTTTGGCTACCTAGTGAGTTCCAGGCCAACCTAGACTATAGAGTGAGTCCCTGTCTCAAAAGCTAAAACAAACAAAAACAACAAAAAAGAATCTTTCTTCACTGACACCCCCTGCCCCAGTTTAACTTCTATAACTCTCTCTTAAGCATGTAGTAAGAGCTGGGCAGTGGTGGTGCATGCCTTTAATTCCAGCACCTGGGAGGCAGAAGCCAACCTGGTTTACAAAGTGAGTTTCAGATACCCAAGGCTGTTACACAGAGAAACCCTGTCTTGAAAAACCACACACACATACACAAACACACACAGGTGTGCACAGAGAAACGATTTACTGTAACACTATTTGTCACAGTAGAAGAAGAACTAGAAGCAACAGAGATGACTGAGACATCAGGCTACTTCATGATTCTACGAGCACCATATCACAATAATGTCATACAATTGTGACTGGCCACCGACTGACGACCGCAAAACCTTCCCCTCTATATTTTCCTATGCTCCTCAGTGTAGATGGTAAAAAGCTCGTAATATTCATACTCGTTCATTTCATATATTTGATATTTTTGGAGTCCCCAACTGTGTTCTAGGAACTAGGCTACGTCTTGGGGAGCACAAATTAAAAGGAGATACGGTCTCTGTTCAAGAAGTTCATTGTCTAAACTGGAAAATCCCACGTGTGCACACCTACACCTGCGGGTATTGCCGTCTAATTGACTCCACATTCTCTTCCACAGTGAGGGTAAGAGCAGGTTCATGCAGCAGGTGCCAGTTTTTCCTTCTTCCATAAACCATGAAATCTGATCACTGATGCCCCTGGGGCAGCTTTGGCCCCACCTGGTGGGTTCCCATCCCCCACAGGTTATGCATACAATGCACACACCTCTGTTCTCCTTGGCCAGGTTGTCAGCCATCTCCCAGTAGTCATAGCTGTGGAGGATGCTGTTGGTGATGCTGACGTGATTGGCTGCCATCTGATGAATGCGCTGGGGGATGCTGACGATGGTGGATGGGGACAGGGCATTGGAGCTGGAGAGGCTGCCCTGAGACCCCACGGAGCTGGTGGGAGAAGGGTTGGGAGACATGGGGGATGGGCTTCCAGTGCTCCTGGAAGAAGAGAGGTAGAAAAGCCAGAGTGGAGAGGTTGGGAGCAGGCGAGCCGGGCGGTCCCCCCGGGGTAGCGTATCATGCCATGCATGGCTTTCTGTTTGGGGAAAGTGAACTTACTTGCCACTGGACCCCCATGGAGACGGGGCTTGGGCAGCTTTCGATGAATTCTGCAGGGAGATAAAAATGTGGATAGTAAGTGCCACTGGCTAAGGGTAACCGGGGGACAGCAGCATATTCTAATGTGACTGAGCCAGTAACCACCACCATTGTATAGGTCAGTGTGGAGTCACAGAAACCACACCTGGGCTACAATCACAGGGATACTCTTCCCTCCGTGGAAGCCAGTATGTATGAAGGAGTGTGCAGATGTGTATGGACACATGTGGACACATGTGCCTTACCCAGTAGAGTTTTCTAACAAACAGACTTTAGGCCCAAATCATCCATAATTGCAAGGGTCTGTTGAATGCTGAACCAGACCAATCCAGAGCTTTTATTTTATTTTTTTGAAATGAGTCTAAATCTTCTGGAAAGAGTGGGAACTCTTCCCCACTCCACGATGAGATGATGAGGACACCCTATGTCTAAATTTAGGGATCATTTACAGAGACTTTCAGAGAAAGTGTGTTGTCAGATTCTACTGTTTTAAATTATGAAGTTCAAAATTATCCCTCTTAATGCTGGGTGTGGTGCACACCTTTAATCTCTGCACTCGGGAGGCAGAGGCAGGCAGAACTCTCAGTTTGAGGTGAGCCTGGTCTACGGACTAGGTACTAAAACAGCCAGGGCTACACAGAGAGATTCTACCTCAAACAACAACAACAACCATCAGCACAACAACAAATTATTCATATTAAAGGAATAAGAGAATATTCCTAAAGTGATAAAGTTTCAAATATAATTTCTAACAGAAAATTTAAAAATTCTGACACTTAGTGATACCTTATTATTAGCATAAATATTAGCATAACTAATAGCACTGACAGGTTTCATTATAACATACAATTTTCAGTTATTTATTTTTTTGGTGGTATTGGATACTGAGCCCATATGTTATAGGAAGGCAATCTACCACTCAGCTTCATCTGTAGCCCTTGATGGACTTAGGTAGCCTGATTACATTTCGTGCACTGGGCATCTGCATCAGGCATTTGAAGGTTTAATATTTTGCATGTATATGTATGTTTGAATGTGTGTGTGTGTGTCTGTGTGTGTGAGCATGCCATGGTATGTAGAGGTCAGAGGACAACTTGTGGGAGTCCGTTCTCTCCTGCTATGTGTGGGTCCTGGGGACTACACTCAAATCATCAGGCAGACTGAATGCCAAGTGCCTTCATTCACCAAGGCAGCACACCAGCCCAGCACAAACGTTCAGAAAGTCCTCCCTTAAGCAAGGGGCATCACCAAGTACAGACTATCAGGGGAAGTGACAGTCTCGGTGAGGCTTGTGCTATTTCTCCTTTCCAGGAACGAGCAAGCACTCGGCGATCCCTAAGACAATGTGCTTCTGGCAGAAGGAGCTTCAGGAAGTGACAGGCTGTCCAGTATCAGGGCAGGAGCTGCCAAGATGGCAAGAACTGGTCTTTCAGGCTCTCAGTAGTATAGACACAGGGCGGAATCACAAACCGCCACTTTTCCTGGAGAGAGCTAGAACAGGAATGCCGCTAGGGGATCCCCTCTCCTTTCCTGTCAGAATGGGTGACACGGCTTGCTGATGGGAGACTCCTCACTTATGTTCCTTCTGCTCAGCACTCTGGACAGGAGGACAGAATGTGGGAGAGGGAGAGAGGCCTAGGGGTTGCAGGAATAGTTTAAGAAAGGGTTTTGAGTGGGATGGAAGTTTTCTGGCTCTTGCCCTATCTGTAAGCATCATGACCAAAGCACGTTGGTAAGACTAATGTTTTCTTTTCAGAGACATCTATGTACTGCTAAGGCATATTCTCCACAGTCAAATGATCATTGTGAACCAAAGGCTTCAGGCCTCAAGCAATGTTTAAATGGTCCTTGAAGTCTAGAACCAAGGGCACCTACAAGTACAAAGCTTCAACACGAAGGACATGTCTTGGAGATCCACTAAAAAGCACGTGGTCAGAACTGTAAGAAAAGGACAGATCTGAGATGTTCCCATCATGAAGATGGCTAAGAGGTGGGATGATGAATGCATGCTGTATCTGGTGGCATCTTACGGGCCCACGGTATATAATATATCAAAGCACTGCACTGTACACTATTAATAATATAACCTGCCACTTACAGTATGCTTCAAGACATAGAATTGATGGAAAGCAAATGCCAGTAACTCAAGTAACAGAATCTGGTTTACTGTTCTGTTCTTTTATACATTTTGTTCCTATTTTTGGACTGGATACAAACATTAACAACTATTCTTGATTCCTTAGAAGCTGGATCATGGAATTCAGTGTACTTCTTTATTCAAGCATTTTTGTTTTTAACTTTGCTATGGTTCATCTCTTAGACTCCAAGTTCCTGAAAATCATTCCCCCACATGTGCATGTGTGTTTGAGATAGGCCTCACTCTGTGTGTGTGTGCGTGCATGTGTGAACGTATGTGTGTGTGTGTGTGTGTGTGTGTGTGTGTATGTCTGGCCTGGAACTTGCAATGATTTCTCCTGATTGTGCCTCCAGGGCACTGGGATCACAGACAAGCCCACCATGCCTGGTAGGGAAAATCTCCATGCCGGATCTCATGTCCACGATGACCAGGGGTGCTCAGCAGCAGTCAGCTAGAAAGCTGGTAGGGCACTAGACACAGCCTGGTCATTTGGTCGGTCTCTGAGGTGTGTAGATTGGCGATAAAGGATTGAACATGATGGTCGTGTGCTTGTGTGTAATAAAGGAGTGGTGGAGACAGTGGTGGTGTAATTTCAGACAGAGAAGAAGCCCAGGCGTTTTGAATGAATGACTGACTTCAGGATCGCTTTGCAATGCTATATCCAAAAGGTGATTTTTTTTTTTTTTGAGACAGGGTTTCTCTGTGGTTTTGGAGCCTGTCCTGGAACTAGCTCTTGTAGATCAGGCTGGTCTCGAACTCACAGAGATCCGCCTGCCTCTGCCTCCCGAGTGCTGGGATTAAAGGCGTGCGCCACCACCGCCCGGCCCCAAAAGGTGATTTTTGTTTGTTTGTTTTGTAGTCTTCTAGTGAAAATAATTTCATCCTCTGAGATAAAAAGTTGCCATGGTTGCAATTCAATCACTATCCACATTGCTAACAAAGATCTCTGAGCTATAACAAGCCACATCCTATCTTTAAAAATAACATTTGCATCAAAGATTAAATCAGCTACTAGAGACTAAGGGGAGTGGGTCTCAGTAGTTACTTCCAAGAATTCTACATAGACATAAAGAATTATAGCTGTTCTAAGGACCAATGCCCAGGTCACTGGGGGCGAATAATTGGACACTCTTTGTTTACAGGTTATAAAAATAATGACATGAAGGCAGGGGGACAAATATCTGGGCTCTCAAGGCCCGTTCTCTGAGCTCGACAAGCCGCAGTGTGTCATAAAGGGGGTGACCGTGGAGGACGGAGAGGACAGGGTTAGTCTCAATGCAGTGGGCTGCACAAGGCCTCTCACAGAGAGCTGTCAGGGAGACCGTGCGGCACAAGCAGCCACGGTGCTTATTTTCCAGAAAGTACCTTGAAATAGTCGATCAGTGCTTTTGAATACTTTACAGCGTGGTCCCTTTTGAGTCGAAACATCCGCCAGTATAGGAGAGCCAGGCATCGGTAACTGCGGTAGAAGAGGGGACATGTTGTGTCCTTTGCAGGGAAGCTTCAGAACAGTATTTCCATCACACTTACACATCTAAAATGTTCCCATATTAAGTACATGCACGAGTATTTGATGCTCCTTTCGTTAAAAAAGCATAATTCAAAATCTATAGAGGCCTCCATACACATCTGGCATTTACCGCCAGATGTGTAAGGGCAACTTTCACGGCTCTTTGTTGAGAACAGGGTCAGGCCGCTTTCTCCTCCCACCACCAGAGGGCAGTCTCTCTCCACGAGAGGCCGAGGGAGCGCTAGCCCAGAGCAGGCACCGCTTTATAGGGTGAGCTATTGGCTTCGCAGACAGGACAGCAATTTCACAGATTTTTATTACCTCTGCTTGTTAACGCTTTACTAGATTGTAATGAGTTCAAATAAAGCGCACTGCAAACAACAGAAGTACCAATCTCAGGCTAGTTACGCTCGCCTATCTTCTACAATGTTCTGTATAATTATTTATATCAAACTTATATTCCAACATTAATTATTAATTGCCATAAATTTATTAATCCCATCATGGTACTCCAATAAAGAAAAGGGCATATTTAGCATTTTCCCGAGACTAATTCTCTCGTCCCCCGTGCTTTTCACTCGTAATTCTTCCCTCGGCTGAGATCAGGTATTGACGTGCTAGAATCCGAACATGCCCAGCACAGCCTGATCCAGCTCGCTAGCACTTCAGACTCCAGATGAAATTATGTCAAACAGCTCGAGACTCTTGTGTTGATGTGGCTGTTATACTGTCTGAGACGCCATTTGATTTTCTATCTCTCAGATTAGATCGTGAGCTCAGTGAACCTGCCGAGAACAAAACACTGGCTACGTGGACAAGGCCAGGAGAGACTCAGAGAGGAGGGGCCTTGCAATGTGAGGGATGGGATGGGGCCTTCGGAGCAGACCTTGTGGGGAGTTACCACTGCACAGCCCTTATGACTGCAGTCCTAAGCATAGGAAGATCGATTACCCATTAGCCAGTATGAAAGAAATGATTTTATTATCTAAGTATATCGAGCTGCCCCTCAGTTCAGGGTATCGATAACTCTAATGGATTGTGAGTATCCGTACATACTGATCTGGCATGCAAAGTAACTCGCCAATGATTCTGACCGCACCTAAAGCGTTAAACACAGGAAAAACCACACTCAAATGAATGAGGGAGGACCTACTTGGTTTCACTTATATTTTTACATGGGTATGTGTGTGCATATAAGTATATGTGTGTGCGCATGTCTGTCCATGCACATGTAGAGGTCAGAGGTCAACACTGGGTGTCTACTGTTCTTTACTTTATTTCTCTGGGACAGGGAGCTTGCTGTTTTCGGTTGCCCTGACTGGCGAGGGACCCTACTCATGTCCCGATCCTCTGGTCACTAAGCTTGGGACCAGGGGGCTAGAGGTGTCTGGAAACACAGGGCAGCCTGGCACCCTGCTCGCAGAGCTGAGGATATACTTACCAAAGCGCAGCTAGTTGTTTGTCCTCTGGGGTAGCGTTGGGGCCTGAGTGGGTTTTTAGTCTCATGGCATACCTTAAAAAAAAGATAAAATAAAAAAAGTCAAGAAATTTAGGAGTCCTTTCTGGCTATCAATGGAGCCTCTTCTATGATGGTCTCTCTCCACCCCACCCTCACACGTTCTGTGCCTTTTTTTTAAATTTATGCACTTGTGTGTGTCTGCATGTGGGTATGTGTGAGTGTGGACACCTATGGAGGGCAGAACTGGGTCCCCTGGAGCTCAAGTCCTAAGTGGCTGTGAGCCATTTAATGTGAGTCCTGGGCCTGGCATGTGGGTCCTCAGTACAAGGGGTAGGTGTTCTTAGTCACAGAGCCGGCTCTCCGGCCCCATATGTGGGCGTTCATAGTGTGTTAAAGCTCGCTGACAGTGCTACTGTGGTGACTGGGGAGGACTTTGATGAGGCTGTGCCACTTCCCATTCGCTAATGACACAGTACAAACTCCTCTGAGTGCTACACGCTCAAGAGCCATTCGTCAGCATGGTAAAGCATCCACTTTTCTTCATCTCATCTTCTGCCGAGTCACCGAGAACTTGGATGCCTAATTTACTTTTATCTGCTTACATGAAACTCTTTATCTGATGACAGGGTAGCTGTCTGCAACACGTCTTCCTGTCTAGTTTTCTGTGTACTGACAAGGGTTTTGAGAAGCAAGTGTCTTTCTTGGAGTAGGAGGCCTGTGGGCACTGCTTCCTCTCAATGAAATATCTGCTCACCTGCTCAGAATCCTGAGAGACGAGGCATTGTGTGCAATGGTGAGAGGGTCCCAGATTAACGTCCCATCTCGGCTACTCACAGAGTTCAGAAAGATGTACTGACATCTCAGTGTCTATTTCCTAATCTGTAAAGTGAGACTAATCCACCAGTCACAGAGCAGGCAGAGGTTAGCCCAGCTGGTTTGTGACGCTCTTGGCGGAACGCGTGCTCTGCTGAAAACGGCGGAAACAGTAATGCCATCCTCTTGCTGTAGGTCTGTAGGTCCCAAGTGCATCCCTCTGCAGCTTCCCCAGGGCTCGTCCTGGATAAAACCCTGCCTGTGTGACCTACAGCCCCTGACTGAAGCATGGAAGCCTTTACTGCCCCTTCATCTATAAAATATTATCTTGAGTACCAGATGGTGCTATAAATTTTGTTTCACCCATCAAATATGATTTACAAAACTCCCTGGAAGGAACAGTTTACTGTGTACACAGCCACACTTCTGGTCTTTCCTCCTAGACATGCCGAGAGTGCTTCGTCCACTCTCTCCCTTTTATTGAGAAGTTCCCTCAGTTTTTAAAAAAGTATTTTTTAGTTGTTTTTTTATTAGTTTACAAATAATTAGGTTACATTATGGCATTTTCCAAATAAATTTTTTTGGTGCCTCCCTTCCAACCCTCCCCTCACGCTCTGAGAAAATGAGAGGGAAATCTAGGGATTCCTCCTTCCTCTTTACCCAGTGTCAGCCTGACCTAATGCTGGACAGTCTCTTCTTTCTGTACTTCTACCCTCTCCCATGGTCCCCATTCTCCCAATTTATTCAGGAGATCTTATCTTTTTCTACTTCCCATGTAGATTAGATCCGTGTACGCTTCTCTTAGGGTCTTTATTGTCTAGGTTCTCTGGGTTTATGAATTGCAGGATGGCTTATCTTTGCTTTATAAGTATACTACACATTTTATAATGATGTTATGATTATCTTTTTCTCACCCCTTCTGAGAGGTAGAATGAATGAAAACATTTACGCATTTGAATGGTGAGGACTGAAAGCAGCGGCTTGTGCGATTGGGCAACCCTTCTACCGTGGTCTTAGATCTCCACTTTTAGTCCCTGTTGACTTCTAATTTCCAAGCAGCTTAGAGAGTCCATGAATCCCACACCTACCACTTCCTAGCTGAGGGGACATGTCCCAGCTTACTTTGACATTGTCCCTTCCTCGGATAGTCAAGGCTTTGTGCAGGGGACACCTGCCTCGCCTCACACAGAAAACAGGGAGGCACACCACGTGAAATAAGTTCCTTCCCATTCTTATTTTAGGAAATGAACACTGGTCCCCAGCGGCCGATACTGCAGGCTGCGGTTCTTTTCTTAGTGTTCCCCACATGTACTTCTGTATACGGCCTTCCTGCTTCCCCCCCACAGCTCTGCGGAAGCAGACCTTACCTGATGAGCTCCACCGTCTCAGAATACATGGTGTATGGGGACTTGGATTCCATTGGGCCTTGTTCCATTGCATTTCCACACTCGATGAAGGACAAGGCTGCTTCGGCATAGTTCAAGGCCTTCCCAAACTTCTCCACCTGACCAACACAATCAGAGGTGTCTTCCTTTCTAAGAGGTTTTTTAATTTGTTTTTGTTGTTTTTTTTTTTAAACAAGGGGCAACACCATACAGTTTATATGCTTTGAGAAACCCAACTTTTGAGCTCCAAAACCCCGTGAAATGGAGCTGAGAGGAAAAATAAAAGAAAAAAGAAATAGCTATGTAGCCCTTGTTGCTATCCATAGCTCATTTCCCATGGTTTCAGGTTCCTGTGGTCAGCAAGGTCTGAAAATGTTATGAGGAGAATTCCAGAAATAAATAATTCATGAGCTTATATATTTTATTATCACAGCTCCCTATTATTGCCCTACATTGTTATTAGTTACTAGTTACTGCTAGTGTCTTCCTGTGCTTAGCTGTATATCACAGACATGCATGTATATGAAACAGAGTGTGTAAATCTCTGAGCCATCTGCAGCCTCAGGGCATGCTATGGGAGCTTGGAGCCTACCTCCCTTGGATGAAAGGACCTAGTAAATCCTCGCTAGTTATTTGCTCCAGTGAGGCAAGTGAGTGGAGAAGTCACAGGACACCTTCCTTCCACTTTGCCAAGCTCCCTTTCCTTCTCCCCAGTGGCTTGGCAAATTCACTCCCTGTCCTCTCTCATGGCGCTAAACGTGTGTCCAAGTTCACAGGTCTGGATCCATACTTGGGCTTCATGCCTACTTTTTCCAGCCTCACCAACGATGGTGCAGGGCCCTGATCACTGTCTCATGTTATCTGGGACTCTGCGCCCCCACGTGCGTCACTATTCTCAGGGCCCCACGAAAGGGAAGACGGAGAAGAGATGAATGGAGATTTACCTAAGGTTCTATATTTCACTTTCACAAAACACGACCCAGAGCTGAAACTCAACCACAAGAACCTCTGGGGTTCCCCACACTGTATATATTTATGCTACTCAGCACAGAGGCTGCAGCACAGTCAGCTCAGCAGGACACACCTGGAAAGACCGGGTGTCGCTACTGTCTCTGCAGCAGCCATGAGTTGAATGTGCACCTGAGTTCTCCCAAGTCTCGAGCTACATACGGAGGCTCTGGCCCTAGACACCACTGCTCTAGGAAAGTCACATATTCCCACCTTGTGAAATCACCTTTGTTTTTCCATGATTTGTTCATCAAAGAAACAAATCACATCCCTACTCTAACTACTCTCAGTCCTACTACAAACACAAATAAATATAAAAATAAATCACCAATTTTCATTAACAATGATATCTCTTTGAAAATGAATATAAATTAAATAGCCAAGGTGGTGGTGGTGCAGCCTTTAATCCCAGCACTCGGGAGACAGAGGCAGGTGGATCTCTGTGAGTTCGAGGCCAGCCTGGTCTACAAGAGCTAGTTCTTGGACAGGCCCCAAAGCTACAGAGAAACCCTGTCTTGAAAGAATATTACTAAATAAATAAATAAATAAATAAATTTTTACTCATTAATAAATAAAAGTTTTAACACTTGTAAGTCATACCATATTTTGTGGCAATGCTGTTAAGGAATTAATTTCATTCTAAAGCACTTAATTTTGGGGTACATGTACTTGATTCACAAAAACTCATTCTAGGACCACATAAGACCCTTGGAAAGTGAAAACTGTATACCACAGAATAGCTCAATATGCAAGGCAGTCTGTGATGGACAGAATACCAACAGAGGAGTCTAAAGCAAGAAGATGGGAGGGGGAGAGTGGGGGGGGGGCTGCAGAGCACCAGGGGAGGCTTCAGGGAGGAGACTGAGATGTTAGTGGGAGGACCTGCATGACTGGGCTGGACTTGGGGAGGACACCGAGGGTGTGAGCGGACAGACATGTGGGCTGGCATGAACGAGGTATGATGAGAGGCTGACAAGGGATAGGGAAGGAAGAGTTGGGCAAGATGGAGTTAGGTGAATAGAGCCAGGAAGCCTTGGATGATGGCTTCAGGTAGCAACTTTCACCATATTTAAAATGATGATTTAAAAGTATGATGTTTTTGCCCCAAAGTGGCCATGCATTAATTATTTCCCTTCCTTCCCTTCTTCTCTCTTTTTAAAAACAGGGTACTGAAGAGACAGAGATCCACGCATCAGTTTCTTTGGATGACCTTGGGATTGTGGGGCTGTGTGGACAAGAGCTGTCTCGTGCGACTGTCTCTATTTCTGATACTCACTGGCTATGTCCACATGACCCCAGTGTTCCCTGGCAATTGACGTCAGGTGATAACTGTGTGGTGGACAATGTGAGGCACGTTGGGGGAGCAGCGCTTAGGATTTAGTATCTTCCGCACCAGACTCACATTCTGAAAGGTATCTGAGACACCACCTTTATCTCCAGCCCCCTGACTGATCTTTGCTATGAATCTGAAGGAGAAGAGGACTAGAGTTTCTAGGAAGTAAGGCATCTGTTTGGAAGAGGCCTGGTGAAATCACTGTGTGATCTAAGAAAACAAACAAACCCAAACCAAACAAACTAAAAGTCTCTATTTCTTGTCCAAAATCCTTAAGGTCTCCAAAATAGATCACCCAAGTCAGAAAAGCTATCTTTCGCAAAGATCACGTCATGTTGACTTTAAGGTTTAAGTGTGAGTGACAGATGAACACAGGAAACACTAGTCATCCTGAAAAGAGATTTGTGGGACTGAGCCAAGGAAGAGCTAGCTAGGCTAGGTAGAGAGGAAAATGCAAATTCAATTTATTTCTAATAGCTCCGCCCACTGACTCCACTGGTTCTGGTTACTATTCAAACCTTGAGACTAAATTGAAATATTCATTTATCCAGGGCTTTCTTCCAGTTCGACATTACCGAGTGAAGTCATAATTTATTGGGCTATGAGCCTTTGATTATATAAACATCTTCCCATTTAGCAGGCCCAGCCATCCTTGTAATAGATTTTATAATTACCCCGGCTATATTGCCCCAGTGATGAAGCTGCAGCACAAACACAATTTAGACGAACAAATCTGGAAGGAAAAGGGTCTCACCATCGCATCTGCTTTATGCTTCATCCGTTTAGCTTCTTGCATAAAATAATCTGCACTACGAGGCCTACAAGGAGAGAATATTAGATGCCATTATTGCTTAAGTGCAAGGTCTGTTGAAAATATGCTTCTCTTTCATTCAAACAGAAGGCACAATTTAAAAACTCTGTTTAATATGGAGTCATGTATACTTTTTGCACTTTCAAATTACAGCCTGTATATAAAGTACATTATTTTTCTCCTAAGTTAGCAATTCAAAACCCACTCAATACATGTAGATAGTCTATATTTATAGTTGCTTTAACGTGGTCCCTTAGTGCCTAATTTGTGAATAAGATTTTTTTTTTTTTACTGTAGGGATAAGAAAAAAGTGGAAACCTCTTATTTTGCATAGTCTCTACAGAAAACCATTCCCCTTCAACTTAAGAACTGCAAATATATCCAGTAATCATCTCACGGAAATGTATGAGTGACAGTATTTATCTGTTCTTATGCATGTGTCGTTTATATGCGTAAATAGTTTCTAGAGTTGTGTGCACATACAGTTAATTGTCTTAAAGCCTCACAGTGAAAACCCAAGAACTGTGATGGAGTATGATTATGTTTCAGTTGTAATGGAGTTAATTGTAAAATGATGTCTACCTTGTAACAATGCAAACACGGCATGTATCCTCTAGGGTGCTGATTAGCTAGCTGGTAAACAGGAGCATTAGACGCCTGTATTATTAAAGCAATAACCCTGGCCAGTGCCGATCCTTCTGGGAGATGAGGGTAATTTGTCCTGAGACCGATCTGAACGTGCACAACAACCCTAAGTCACACTACACCACCCATCATCGGTTGGTGCCTTTAAAATGTTTAGTCTAATAGATTAATTTTAAAAAAAACCTTTTACATCCTTTAGATGCCATCAGCATAAACTTCTTTGTATTCCGTGTGTTAGGTGATCAATAAACTTGACCTACTCATAAACAGTAAATAGCAGCCAGGGGATAGGATGTCACCAGAGAGATTAGTCATGGACTGTTTAACCTATTACGATAAGCTTATTTTAAACTGTCTTGTTTTAGATTCTAATGGGTCATTTACCTCACTGGAATACCAGGTAATCAGAACATTCCTTTATTCAAAGAGATCAGAATGCCTAGAGAAACAGTAATGTGCTATGACAAGAAACACGGGTTGACCAAAACATGACATTTTATTCGTCAAAGTGAGAAACAAAATCAGGACCAAAGTTAATAATTAGTTTTGGGTCAAAAACCATGGGATCAACAAAAACAACAACAAAAGGACCTCATGTCCAGCCTTTTTTTCTCTACAAATACTGACAGAGTTGTGGCAGTCTATTGGGACTGATGTGTTGGTTTGTTACCACAAGGAAACGACAACACAACCATACGGTCTCCCGAACGTAACTGTCTGTCTGTGGGCAATTGCGCCCTCCCCATTCTCGTTCCCATGCAGGTCCAAAGCTTTCCATTCCCCTGGATGGTCTCTGGTGTGGCTGAAGGTTTCCTCAGTAAGACGGGCCTGCTGCCTCCACCTTTGCTTTGCTAGCGCATCGCTGAGGGACCCACAATTCCACTTGAATGGCTTTTCAAATGCCTTGACAGTCTTTGGCTACATACCGACTGATGCGAATTTTTGGCAATTTTCACCGTTACTACTTGCTTGCTTTTGCTTTCAAACAGACTTCCTGGAACATTTTTAGATTCACAGAAAGACTGAGTAGAAATTATGCAGTTTCCACGTATACTCTGCCCCACGTAAGTACAACCTCCTTCATTATCAACATCCTGAAGTGACGTGAGTGTAATGGTTCAAAGTGACAAGCCAGTGGTGACAATCAGAAGTCCACGGGTTAGGGATCAATGCTAGATGGTTGTGATCCTGCAGGTTTGGACTCATGACATCCAAAAAGCCACGATCTCCTGTTGAGTCATGACACGCATCTGCTGGTACAGCATCAGCAGGAACAGGCGTGCTGCTGCGTTTGCTCTTTGGCTTCCCATCCCATCACAGACGATCAGAGCTCACCTCTAGCCCAAGCCTAGACTCACTGCTGAGCCTTAGATCCCAGGGCCTACAGCTGAGGAGAGATTAGTTTTCACCGTCTCTCTCTTGTTGCCAGATGTGTTCAGGCTTCCTGTTAAGCGTTCTTCTTCTCTTAAAGACATACCACCCAAGTTGCTTTTATCAACTCTGGTTCTGGGTTCAACTCCTCGGCCAGCGTTTCTCAAATACTGTTTCTGTTGTGTCTCCAGTTCCCAAATCAATCTTGGGGCTTCGTAGGTCAAATCTTAGCTCAGGTTAGGTATTCACCAGGGACGATGAGTAAAATCTGGGGCGGTTCCATCAATTTTGATGGCATGCCACTCCTGTTTGGAAGCTTTGTTCTTCCTTTCCCGTGCCTGGAATATTCTGCTCTCTGCTCAATCACTGAGTGTTCACCAAATCTTATCAGGAACTAAGTCTGACCATTGCCAGGAACAGTTCCTAGGAGCGTCACCCATGCTTCTCACGGTCTTTCCCACATCACAGAGAACTTGGCTATACTATACATCGTGGGTAATTAATTACCTTCCAAGTTCACAGGGCTACAGTCACGGCATGTGGGCAGCTCGGTCCCTGGCGCATTTCAGCAGGAATCATGCTGGTGACCTTTGCGTTCTTCTCCAGCCTACAGTAATCCTTGAATCGTACTGGATTTCTCCCGAGCCTGCGGGAGAGTGGTGCCTTCTGAGAGGGTGCAGCATCATGGCCAATGAGCCGAAGAGTGTCTCCATGGCAACTTGAAATTCTTCCCATCATTATCTGCTCTACACTCTAGTATCCAGGTTTGGTCATTTTCTGTGTGTCCTGTTTTGTAGACCTCACCACTAAAAGATTGTCATTTTAAATGCATATTATTCTCATGGGGAAAGAACCTCTTTTGGTCATAAGCTATGGCATCTTAGACTTCACAGGCTTTCTAATTTACTCTTCGAGATGGCAGTAGCTGATAGCCACTAATGTGGGTTCTTCAATCAATGTTTTTACCTGCAGCACAGGAATGCGCTTTTCAAGCCTGAGACGAGGCTGAGTCACAGCACACAGCGGTGCCTGGAGGGAAGTAACTCATCCCATTTGCTGACCGGATCCTGGCAGTTACAACTGTAACCTGCCACACTAAAAGACAACCCGGTGCCATCTATGGACCATTTACAAACACGCTCGTTAGAACCCCTTTTGCATATAATGGAGGGCTCACTGTACTAAGCATGGAAAATTGCCTGAAGATTGGCCCATTTTCTCCACTCAGGTGCTTTCTATTGCTAGGCTCTTAAATCAGGCCATTATAAAGTCATCGGGACCACTGGGATGCCACTCACTCAGACTGTCCAGGGTGGCTGTGGATGCACACTAACCTGAAGGCATTGCTTTCTACAGCCATATACAAGTCAGAAGGAAAAATGAAATTGCCCTCACTGCTGTCACAGGTACAGAATCTAATATATCAAAGGTTCTGAAATAAAACCTAATCATCTCCGCATAAAATAGATTTTCCATTGAATCTGCCTTTACGTGGGAAAAGTAGAGTTTTTAAACTTCTGTAATATTATCACTCGCATTATTTTTCATAGTTCTTCATGATGGCCATGAACACACGAATAAAAGTGCAATTAAACGTTGTGAACGCAACTGCATTCAGTGGCTGATGGCGGAGCCGGCGCACAGCCATGTGCATCTTTGTTCTGAGAGGTCTCTGTAAGGAAAGCCATCGGTGTACGTTTTCCTTCCTCCTTTTCTTCCACCGTCGCCACCTACAAACACACGGCCTTGGCTCTGAGCCGCTGCAGGGTGCGAGGGACCTGACATATCTCCTAGCACGCGAGCTTTAGAGGCAGCCTTTGCTTTTTGTTCTCCTTCGTGGCTGAGGGGGAGAGAGAGATGAATGGTCTCCCACGGAGAGGCTGGCACACTGCTTTCTGTAATTCCTACCTCTTTCAAAGGCCGTCCTTCCACAGAACAAGTCTGTTTTGTGCAAACTGGCAGGGATGAGAGCTCACTGTGTTTGAACAAACAGGTTCCTGGGTGTGGAGTGATCGGGACAAGGTTTGCTTGGAGAAACTGAAACCCACATCAGACGGAGGAGCAGCAACAATGACAGCCAACGCATTTTAGTCTGATACCCCCAATGCCAGCTGATGTGCCCTCAGGGTGTTACTGTGCCCTCAGCCCTGAAGTGCTTGTTTCAGAAGGAGACTGACCATGGAAGGGGTTAAATAGTTCTCTTTCACACACAGCTGCTTGGTAGTGCTAGCTTGCAGAACTGGGGGGCACATCCAGGGCTTCATGCATGCTGGGCAAGTGTTCTGCCACCTGTCCCCCTCCAGCAGTCACTGTTGGCGGGGGTGTTTGAGGCCGGGGGACTCCCAAGGGCTAATGTTGGCTGTCTGCACACACCCCTGTGGATGCAGGTAGATGGTATGTAAGCCACAAGGATTCGGGCGCAGCTTTCATCCCTACAACCCTGACATGGACTGGAACTCAGAGTGCCAGGAACCTGGCTTCTCAGGAGGGGAGTGCCTTCTTCATGCTCCCCATAGGACTTACAGTATCTTTTTCAAGTTGTGATGGCTAAGGGAGGCAAGCTTTTAATCACTGAAGAAACTTTTATTGAAATGGAGAATCATCGGTCTCAGTGTTCTTTCTTCCTGGGTTGGACATTTAAAACGATCGATTATAGCAAAGCCTGCAGATTACAACAAGAGAGAGATGTCCCTTTCCTCCAACTTGGAGTTTCTCTTTTTGTTTTCCCATTGGTCAAAATAAAATAAGGGCCCAGCTAGAGACATGAAATTCACAATGGAAACAATTCCTTTGCAGCAATGAGGAAAGGGTCTCCCCCAGGACAGCAGTGCCATGGAAAGGCCCCCAGAGTGCCCTGCCTGGCTCTCACATGGCCTATGCAAAAATTCTGGTTGGCTTCCTTTGATTAAATCATGCTGCCAGAGATTCAACCTCTCATATACGGGAATCTTCCCATCCTCTATAAAATTAAAATCCTTTTAGCAAGGAGACTGCTGCACATAATTGCATTACAAATGTCAAGTGCCCACCCCTCCTCCCACTCACATTTTACAAGCTCACGGTCTTCAGCACTGTGTGTCCCAGGGAGTCTTCACTCAGTGCCCGGAGGGTTAGATAGCTCTGCTCCTATTATTGGTGTCGTGGGGACAGATGGGACATTTGGTGGATTGGCTGAGCGCTCTGGTCGTGACTGCCTCTTGTATGTGAAATATGGGCAGGGGACAGCACATCCTTCAGCAAGCAGCAGGCAGTGCTGGCCTCCAGCCCTGCTGGCTTCCAACGTAGCAATATGGCTGGTGGGAGCCGGGGCTTTATTTCCTGCCGCCAAGCCTTTCACCACTTAGCTCCGTGAATTCGGGACTCCTGGATGGAGGCGTCCCATCCCAGATACCTCTCAATTTTCCTTGGCCAAAGCTCCCTTGCCACTAATTATGACACCAGATAATATATAGCTCAGGGCTCGGCACTAATAAGACCCGTATCTGAGCTGCGAGGTGAGGCGAGCGTCGTCACTCCCTGACATAAATTCTCACAGATTTTGTCTTTTAAAGGAAGAGTCTGTTAATCACGCCCGTACCACCTTCCCACGAAGGCTGTGGAGTAGTAGCTGTCACGCTTTCCCTGCTTCTGCTCAATGTCAGGGGAGGATCCACACAGCCGCCAGTCTGCACTCGCCCTTACCAAGAACAAGCAGACCTTGATTCCAGTTCTGAAGTGAGTGCTAGCCCCTTCAGTTCATTTGCATCCCCAAAGCTTAATTGGTAAGAAACACAGGAAATGAGATGTGTAAGAACAGGGATTTAAATGGACTTTCATGCAGGTTCACGGAAAAAGAGAAAAGATAGAAAAAAAAATCCAGGGCTTCCCTCTGGGAAGGATATTTATAATTCAGCCGTGTTTATTCAGTGCTCATTCTTGACAGCCTGGTGGATTCAGTTGTTGTTGGAACTGCATGTTTATTCAACCATTAACAAGTGTTTATAATACAAAAGGATGAGCTTCTTTTTTCATTCTTTCTCTCTTTCCTTCCTTCTTTCTTTCAAGCTACATGATGCAGCTTGAAGAACTAAATGACAGCCTGGCATCTGGTCCTCTCTGGATGACTAACTGGCTCTCCACCAGCTTCTCAGTTGCTCTGGTCCTAATGATCTGGCCCTTTCCCTTGTTTTCCTGGCAGCTTCCCTGTTCGTCTCTGTGCTTGCTGACACCTCAGTGAATATAAGCCAAGGAAAGTGACAGGAGCTGAGGACTTTAGTGATCAAGGAGGCTGTCAGGGCAGACACTGTCAGGGTGAAAGCAGAGGAAAAGGAAGTGAGGAGGGAAGGAAAAAACAGAGCCACGTGGGGAAGGAAGAGGCTCATTGTTGTTGTCTGCCTAGGGATGGTACCACCCACAGTGGGCTGGGCTTCTACATCAATTGGCATTCAAGACACACCCACAGAGACCACCACTTTCACGGAGTCGATTGCTTAACGGAGGTTTCCTCTTCCCAGGTGTGTCAAGTTGGAGCAAATTATGACAGAAGGGAAGGGAGAAAAGTAGGGTAGGAGAAATAGGACAGGAAGGAGGAAGAGGAATAGAAGGGTGATGAGAAAAAGTGGGGAAAGGAGGAGATGTGGTTCTAGCGGTCACAGGAGTGGTCCCGTCCATGTGCTTTTCTCTCCTGACTGTAGGATTATGGCGAACATCATATCTTAGCTGTTGCCTGTACCTGATACTCAGTAGGCACTTAATACAGCAGCTAGACATGCACAACATTTTGCGTATGTCAGTGACTCTGATCTCTTGAGAGATAGCTATTTTCACGGTTTAAAGGAAGAGACAATGTTGGTTCTTTGCCTTTTGGGTTTTAAGGATTGTCTCACGCTAGGCAGTGGTGGTGCATGCCTTTAAACCTAGCACTCAGGAGGCAGAGGCAGGAGGATCTCTGTGAGTTCAAGATCAGTCTGGTCTACAAAGTGAGTTCCAGGACAGTCAGGACGGTTACACAGAAGGCCCCTGTCTTGAAAAAACAAAAAAAACAAAACAAAACAAAAACAAAAACAAAAAACCAACCAAACCAACCAACCAAAAATCTTCGCACAGCTTTTTCTAGATCAGTGGCTGTTTGAATTGCATGTTTATTTTACCACTAGAGATTTCACATCATTTGGGGCAAGTGGCCACAGCTCTCCATGTAATGGGTATTTAAGAGTGCTTTTCTATTTCATTGTACCATATCCCTAATAGAAGGCAGTCCCGGCACAGTCAGCAACCAGAATTACACATCTTGCCTACAGGCAGAGCCTCTCCATCGGTGTAGGCAGGGAACATATTGAGAAACATTTCCCCCTATTAAAAAAATTCAAGAAACTTCAGATTGGCTATAAGAATTGGGTTGCTGCTCTTTCTGACTTAGTCTTCAGTTCTGAACATGGAAGAAGTCATTGAATTAATTCTCTCATAAATTCTTCTTTCTTTCTTATCTTTATCACTCTTCCTAAACCATAGCCCAGAGATGTTTGGTGTTTTGAATATCCCTATGTCTAATACGTCTATTATTAGCTATGACAACCAAACACAAGTTCCACAATGACCTTAAATATCACTTTAATTGCCTCTGTTTTCAAAAATGGCTAACTTTCACAGGGTCAATCACCAGCACAAAATCCTAACCTGATCCGAGGGAAAATGAGCACCCGCCATTCTGCTCAGCAAAGGGAAAGTGAAGGGAGGTAGGTGGAAGAGTAGTTAAGGGAGGGGAGGATTGCGTGCACAGAGTTGGCATGTAGTTGCAGTAACCACAGGAAGAGACCTGAGCCTTGTGGATGTCCATGTAATTCCCCAAATTCAGATAACTTGGCATGTGCTTCTTAAATGAGACAAAGATGTGCATTTGACTTCCAACCCCCAAACTCTGTGCCCTGGTTGATGTATAAAGTAATATTAATACTTAAGAGACTCAATATGGGAAGCTGAGAGAGAAGGAAATACCCCATGTTTATATTAGGGCTGTCAAAGAGTGGGCAGGGGAGCTTGATGCCTGATGCTCCCGAGATGCTGCGTCTTATGTGATACCCCCGAGGAGGGGAGCACAATAGTAGTCACTGATACTATTATTTTCTTCTGAGGAAGGCTGGGAGATGTTGGAACCAGTTTGTATTTTGACTTCCAGGGGGCTTAGGGCTTGTAGTCTGTCTCTGCAGTTGGAATGGAAGCCAGCAGCAGGGCAGGAATCTCCTGCACGAGGTTCCTGGAAGACTTCAGTTATCCTGCCTCACATGGACATGCAACACGCTTGTGGGTCAGCTAACAACAGAACGCAGGATTCAGGCTGAGCTCGTGAAACTCTATCTCCTTCTTCTAGGTGTTTCTTGACCCTCTCCCTGGGGGCCAAACGATCATCAGCATCATCTCAGCCTTTCTGACTGGGATCGTTCAGCCTCCTAAGAGCATGGCTGGACATTCTTAGCCACCATCCCCGCCTTTATCCCTTTAAAATGACAGCGGGTACGGAAGATGCATTCTGTTGTTAGCAGGAGAAGTGGACAAAGGATTCCAGGCTGCTTTTCCCACATAAGGTCTGTTTACACTCTTAACAAAGAGCCTACATCTTGGGAGAAAACAGCCTTCAAGAGTAAACCACTATTATTCTTTTGCTATTATAGTTTACAAAACCAAAAGGACTTTTATTTTCCTGATCGCACAAAGTCACCAACATCCCATAATATATACCCTTGGAAATAAGACTCGCTGGAGGGGCTGGAGAGACAGCTTAGCAGCTCTGCTCTTGCAGAGGACTGGAGTTTGGTCCCAGTATCCACACTGGGCAGCTAATTGCCTGTAGCTCTAGGGGATCCATGAGCGCCCATGCTCATGTAACACATACCCAGACAAATATACATATAATTTAAAAAAAAAAAGACCCGTTAGGGAAGTTTGCCTCAGTTTTTTTTAAGTTTTGGGTATCAATTCCATAAGCCCTGGGGATCCTGCTTATTCAGGGGTGCGTATTAAGTTAGCGCTTTGTTTGAGAGGGACATTTAAATTACCATATCATGCAAGGGCAAACAGCCACATCATAAATAAGAGGATATAATCTTTCCTTCTACTTTCTTTCCTCGCCGCACTAAGAAGGTCCAAACTTACATGTCATCGAAGATCAGCTTCTGCCTCTTGCAGTCCCTGTGGCCATTGGAACCTGGAGACCATGGCTCAGTCTGTGGCCGTGACTTAGTATGGAGGATGCCATTTTCGGAGCTGTTGTGAGCTGCTTTCTAAACAACAAATAACAGAGAAGTCACTGAGACACTGGCCACCTGGCTGAAAGAGCCATCAGACAGCACACCTTTTCACCTACAGAATACTGCCTGTTGACTATTAGAAACGATGGTGATTTTGTTTCAATCAAGAAAAGGTAATACAGGCTGTGTATTCTTTAATCAAAATACTGGGAACCACAAGGGGTTGAATATTTAGTGGATGGAACCCAGGTCTAAGTATGAAACTCATCTGTGTTTCCCCTTAAACAGATAGCAGTTATATATACATTAAAGCAATTATCTGCAGTATGCTTTAAACCAGTTTTGTGATTCTTTTCGGCTCTGACCTACCATAGGGATCAGGTGTGGAATGATCCATTTGCTGAATTACGTTGTTTTCAGCAAGTTTCAGATTTTGGAGCCCTTTGCATTAGGGGTGTCCAGCCTGTACGTGTCTAAGTCTCAGCCTGTACATGAGGACTTCTGCACCTGTTGTCAAATGCTGTCCTCACAGCAGCACCAAAAGGGAGGTTGTATGCTTCTTTTACGGATGGGGAAATCAATACAGGTCAGGTTAGGCAACTTTCTCAGGTGCTAATAGTTAACAGTGTGTGGAGTGAGGGCTTGGGTTCACAGCTTCATGGTGACACAGAGGTAAATCTGCTGAGTGATCACCATAGCAGCATAGCAAGGTGCCCGGCCCAGGACAAGGACCTGCTCAGAAAGCACCACTTAGTGGATGAGTAAGTGAAATAAGCCAATGGCTAAACCTCTCAGCACACCCCAGATGACCACGATACATGGATATGAACGTGAAGGAGACGTCTGCTTTGTTTTAAAACCTGAACAGATAGCTTTTCATCCCGTGTTTCTCTAGGAGAGTCTCTCTGAATTCTTCCTGCCTAAGATTAAAGATAATTGCTTCTAAATGTGGCTGCATAGAAAGGCACCCTTTGAAGATATGCTAAGACTCAGGCTCCCATAGAACCTTCTGCCAACTCTTTTGCATCTTAAATCCATGGGGAAAATGTTAAGTACTGGTCCCTGCCTAAGATCTTTCTTTGCATAGACCATTTTTTTTTGTCCAGGATAGAGTTTCTCTCTGTAGCCCTGGCTGTCCTAGAATTAGCTCTATAGACCAGGCTGGCCTCGAACTCAGTACTCAGAGATCTGCCTGCCTCTGCCTTAACTGCTGGGATAAAAGGTGTGCGCCACCACAGCTTGAAGCATAGCCCTATTCTTAAGCTTTCTCTCTCTAGCCTCACAGAGCCCTGCTGGCTTTGACAGGCACAGGGTGAACTCAGACAGAACATCTGGACTTACAGAATACCCTGGGCAAGACGCCGCTTTTAGAGGCCATGTGGAGGAACTAAATTGATTGTCAGTGATATCTAGAGAGACCTGGGTAAAGAAACAGCTCAGAGAGATTAAGCAACTGGCCCAAAACCACACTGAAGCTAAAATACTCCACTCTCACCCAGGGGAACGTTAGAACCACTCTAGAATGGACGGTGAAGGGCAGTGTTAGAAACCTCCCGCTTTGGCCATCTCACTGATAGAAAAGAGCAGGCCAAGAGCCCTGTAATGTCGGCCCGGGTTTCAGCCCCAAATACACGTGCGCCATGTATTGGTAGGACATTTTCCCAGCACAGAAACTGGCTGGTTTAAAACTCCCAATTTTCGAGTGGATAGGGGATGGAATGGGGGGAAGGTGGAGGGAATGGGAAGAGAGGAGTGGAACTGGGATTGGTATGTAAAATGAAAAAAAAAAGATAGTTTGTTTTCTTTTTATAAAAAATAAAATGAAGCAAAAATTAAAGGAAAAAAACCTCCCAATTTTCTTTGTCTGGGGATGGTGTTATTCTGGAGTCTGAAATAGTTTCTAGAGGCTTTGTAAACAGAAAGGGCTTTGAATTTCCACTGGGCAGGCTTCTTCCTTCGTATTCTGGTGAGGAGAGAGGAGGAGTACATCTCCTCTGCCAGATCTCCCTGGAAGTCGCCTTCAGGGACTCAGCATGGGGCCTCCAACATGTAGGACAGCGTGGTGGGCCGACTCAGAATTTCACTCTAGTTTACTTAGAAGAGAAGGTCATCGAAAAGACAAACCGTGAGGTCTCCGGCATGTGACTGCAGCTGGCTGTCAGCCTTAGGCTTTTTGTTGGAAGAGGCAGAAGTCAACATCCCATTGCCGTGAGGGCGGCTGGAAGAAGTCAGGTCCTCGCTGGAGTATTTGTGTTTACAGGCATCAGAGAGTGGCGAAGTGGGTGACCGGAGCATTTTTTCATTTTTGTTTATTGGTATTGCCAAGCTGAAAAGAGAAACAGCAACAGAGTCTCGCAGTCTGCACAAGAAAAAGGGCCATGCTTCTTGTACAACCCAACCCCCATTTTAAATCTGGTGGCAGGAAGAAGCTTCTTGGGAATTATTATGGCACTAGGACCACAGAACACAATAAACAAATCTCATGCACGGGTTCTTGCCTCTATTAGGACACACAGCAATCTTGACTTCCTGCCAGTGTAAGACTAAGAAGAATAACACATCCACACTTTTGATTTCTTCATCCAGGTATCTACAGACACCGAACGAACAAGCTTTTCCTCACAATGGTGAGCAGCTTGGGAAAGCCAATCAGCAGTCAACAACAGTAACTAAACCCTTAGTTTTTTAGAGGGCACTGGCCAGCATCTGAGCTTGTAGGATATAGTCACAGAATGGCAGTTTTCAAAGACCTGAAGCCACCTTCCAACAGCTAAGTTTCTGAATTCACCAGAGACTGATCAGAATAAACACAGAACAAAGCAACTGGTACCTGAAACCTTATGTTTACCTTAAAGACTACTGTCTATTCTTAAACAGAATTTCTCCAACATCAACCATTAGAGAAGGCAGATTCACTTATATTAAGGTCTTAACAGTGATGATGATGCTTATTGCTAGGGATCTGTGTGTTCTGCATTAGGAAAAAGGATTGTTTGTGGAGGAGATGTTATCCTGAAATAGAGTCAATCACTGCTAACTAAAGAAACACGGAGAATCAATTAATACAGTTTACAAACAACAACTACTACAACAAAATGGTACAACCAACGAAAATTTAGTTGTGACTCGGGCTTATGACAGGTTCATTGTATATGCTGGTTATCAGAGCAAACAAGCCTTTAAAGTCACTTCAAAAAGCAATTTCCTTAGTTGGTAGTCACAGTGGGAACCTCAAGTACTAGCCTCTAAAACAAACAGCAAAGTTTTTTAAAACATCACGCAAATAAATACACGTGGAGACAATTTCTAGTTCTAAAAGTACTGTGTAACATGTTATAGGCAGCTGTTCTGGATGAACCCAAAGTTGTGTCTACTGAAGGGAAGGAGGCTGTTGTTAAGGATGGTTGTGAAAAGCCTAGAAGCCATCATTTCTTGACATCTGAGTGAAAAAAGACCTGCTTCTAAGTATCTATTATTTTACATTCTTTATGTGTAATGAAGAACAAACTGCGACATTAAATATAATCATGGGTATATATGACTGGTGCCTCTTCACTGTTGCAAGTTTACATATTCAAGTGGGCCAAAGAAGCATCCTATGGAGAGCCTCCTAGCTGGGCGATCAGCTCTGTGTTCTCCTGAGCTGGTCAAACAGGCAGTAGAATCACAATTGCAGAGGTTCGCAGATCACCCTTTCCAGAAAGAACTCTGTACATTTTCATTCATGCTGTGTCATTACTTAGTGTCAACAAAACAATCAGATCTGGGAGGCTCTGCCAGGCAGTCATGAGAGCAAGACTTTTGAGGTCCATGAATCTGGATGGCATAAAGTTCCACCCTCCTCTCTCACTAGAACACTTCCTCTAGTTAGAAGCAAGGTTAAGCTGGATCATCTTTGCAATAGCCAAGCTCGTGTCTCAGCAGAAAGCACGGGTCTTTTCTTGCTATACTCCAGTTGTTTCCGACACCTTGCAATATCATTTGTGTTCATTGCTATGCAGCAGTTATGGCTCTTACTAGATGGGAAGGTCATTTAATGCACTGATGAATGCACAAAGAATATTTGGGGGGCAGGGTCCCTTCATGCCTGTTTTCCTAGTCCGTGGGAATGCACAGAAGACCGTGGAAGCCCTGAATCTGTTCCCTCCTGTGCAGGGTTTTGGGAGCATCCTCAAGGTAATCCCCACCGCGCATGGGCCTGTGTGCCTCTGGTCTCCAGCCGCCTCTTTGCCTTTCAGCACTGCTCTACATCTTCCCCCAACCTTTCAGTTTACATTTTTATGTGCTGTGCAGAACCATTAATCTCCCCTTAAAAACCCTCTGTGTATAGTTAGGGAGAGTGAGAAGTGTCTCAGCAGAGGAAAAGCGGGGTCTGTGCTGAGGTGCTTCTAAATGGAAAAGCCTCTAGGACTGATGCTAAGAGACTTGCTTTCATGAATGCCCGAGACCTTGCCTGGCTGGAGGACCATTTATCACAGAGGGAGGTGGTGTGTGGTGGCCCGGTCTGCTCCTTTAGAGGAGTCACTGGGTAGCGGTTTGACCTTGGAAGCACAGATCCTTTTTAAGCCTACAACCTGTCTACACCCACTAGCTTAGGTGTAATTTTAGGTTCTTATGGTCTTATATCCTTGTCAGTTACTATTAAAGTAGTAGCTTGTGAGGTTTGGTTATCAAGTTTTGGGGGGAGAGATCATTGGGGAGCACAGAGTTCAGAGTTGTGTATACCTGGTCATTGGTCTCTGGTTACAGGTAAGGGCTTGATACAGCTTTTGGTTGACTTGAGGGAAGCAAGCCAGCAGACTCAGGTTAGAATAATCAAAAGGATCTTCTATTTCCTCAACACAATGGCTTTCAGATCCGGTGTCCCCATCCAGCTCACAGCTACCTTGGCGGAGGGGGGAGGAACCAGGCTTACCTGTTGATGTTCAGGTTGCAGTGGCTCCCAGACAAGGTGTTATTAGCGGAGGCGGCCAGGCGTGAAGCACTCTCCTTCTCTCCTTGGGCCTTCTTTATCTCCCTGTAGTCATCTTCATTGTCACACTGGGCGGTAAGAAGCAGAAGCCAATCAACTTGGGACTCTGAGGGCCACCAGTGAGCTGTGGGGCACTGCCTGTCACACAGCAAGGCCTCTTGGGTGTCCCCACCCACCTTCTCTAGAGAATGAGGCAAGAGCAAAGCCCCTGGCATAGGCACCATGGCACTCACATGTGCTGGGCTTAGTATGGGTGGCTTGGTAAAGGGAACAACATGAGGTGGCAATCGGAACTTGGATGATGAAAGCCACTAAGTGTGTAGCTCTGCAAAGCAGCTCTGGTCTGGATTACACCGTGGCATCTCTATCACTCATCCCTGCATTCTTGGTATCAGAATAAAGCATACAAAGTGTGTTTCATCTAAGCTCATGAGAACTTCAATGGTGAGAAAGCCCAGCTTCGCCTTGGTGAAAGAAATGCCTTTAGTGACCGGCAAGCAGAGGCTGCTGCCTGGTGTGCTTTCCTTCCAGCTTTCTGGCCCCGAACATCTTCAAGTTCCTTTTGATAAAATAGGACTTGGGATGGGTTCTTGCTACACGGCAGTGTTTGACTCTACAGTGTTAGGCTACAGAGGAAATACACTGCCCAAAGTGCCCCTCCTGGGGAGACAACGAGAGCCATCTCCAGTGTGGTACCCTCGGAGCTGTATGGGGGTTTTCAGGAGAAAGAAAGCAAGTATCAAAGACAGAGAGAACCTGACTCTTAGCTATGATTGTGTCGCAAAGCCTCTGCCAACAGGGGATCCTAGAAGCTCACGTTGTTATCATGGCCCCATGAAGGGTCCAAAGCAAACTGTAAGCCCTTGGATCTCAGGTATAGGGCTTCAGCGGGGCGAGAGCCTGCTCTGTCGGTCTGTGTAGGGAGTCCAATCACCATTTGCCCTTTCCAACCCTGCCATGGAGAATGGGAGGCATACGGAATAACAATGTTCTCTACTAAATGGGAAGCTAGTTCCCCTGGTCTTGGCACACAGGCAATTGGTACAATTGGTTCTGTAAGGTAAAGGTACTTGCTGCCAAGCCTGGCTACCTGAGTTCAGGTCCTAGGGTGCATATGGTGGAGGGAGAAAACCATCACAGGTGTGTCCTCTGACTGCTACATGCATACTGTGGCATATCCATGAGTGTGTGTGTGTGCACACACCCACACCAAGACACACACACACACAGACACATATAAAACACTGAAAACAGGCCTTTGTGTATGTATCAAGAACAAGGGAAGTAGTTGCCTTTTGGTGGTCCTTATTTCTACTTTGTAGAAATGAGCTGTTTAGTGCTATTCTGTGAAGAAACACACTCTATGCCTGTATAACAGATTTCCTTGCTGGTAATAAAGATGACTGTCACCAGGAAGAGACTATGCCTTTGACATAAACCCTTCCAAAATGAGGAATATCTTCATCTTGGCCAGGAAAGAATTCCCTCATAAACATTTTCTTCCAAGTTATCTCATTTAGAACGTGTGTGTGCGTGCACATGTGTGTATGTGCACACGTGTGTGCGCGCACACACACATGTGCACCTGCATGCCTCGGTGCTCATGTGGTCAGAGAACAAAGTCTGGGAGTTTGATCTCTCCTTCCATGGTGAGTCTGGGACTGCTCAGGCCCTCTGAACGGCATGGCCCAAGAGCTGATACTGGCTGAGTCAGTTTGCCCCCACCCACCACTATTAATGAAGGAATTGAAAAGGCTGTAAAATCCATGTGTGCAGAGTCTCTCTTTTTGTTGTTGACAGAACAGATTGCCCTTTGGAAACTGGAAGATGGCTATACAAAACTCAGGCTGATGCATTACTGAGTATGGGAATCTGGGCCCAACAACTGTCTGGGTCCATTTCAACTGACATAACCTTGGAAAAGTCCTAAGTATTCAACAGTATCCTTCTCAGGGACGTTTGCATGTAGTAACTGCTGTTGGTAATGATGGCATTTCAAACAATCCACAAGTAGTGCAACCTTTGGTTTGCTGCTAACTGCTTTTGCTTTGTGGTCTGAATTAGCTTGTGTGTGTGTGTGTGTGTGTGTGTGTGTGTGTGTGCACGCACGCGCGCGCGCCTGTGTCTGTGAGCGTGCATGTACCTGTGGAGGCCAGGGTTTGACTTCGCGTGCTAGCCATCTTGTTTTAGGAAACAAGATCTTTCCCTGGGAACTAGAGCACTGGAGAATGTCCCAGGGGTCTGCCTGTCTTCACCTCTCCATGCTGGGATTATAAGCATGCGCCTCCCTGCCCAGCTTTTACAGGAGTTCTGGGGATCAAACTCAGGTCTTCCGGTTGACTGGGCCAAGTCCTTTACCAGTGGAGGTATCTCTGTAACACTCCAAACGCAGCCATGGAAGGGGTTGTTAAAAGTCCTCAAACTTGGCTTGATGGAGGAAGTATTTCCCAATTTGGAAACCTTCAAAACTGGCTGTGTGTCCTTGAGTCACTGCCAGAGGCTGCCTGGGCTCTCCCATTCTAGAGATGCCTGTTAATCCAAGTCTCACTTGCCCAGTCTATCCATTCCTCAAGTGCCACTCAACCCAAAGACCATTGTACCTACAAACATCCTTCCTCCCCAGAGTCTGATTCCCAGCCCTCCTCTGCCTTGAAGCTCTTTCTCATCACTATGGGAAGGAACACCTGCTGGTTGACACCGCTGGCTGACCTCAGGACAGTGGATTTCATCTTCCACTTCGGCCAACAGCCTTACATTCTAAGAGGCATTTTAGTGGATGAGTGATTCCACTGTCAACATTATCCTGTCCATCTCAGCAAGGAATGGGGTTCACCATATGTTCAGTCTCCCTGTGCTCCATGTTCAGCCTGTATCTGCACACGCAGTAAATGCTGCCCGTATAACCATTTCCTCAGGCTGGGCCAGTACTTCCCTAGATCACTATATATGTATATCTATTACTTATGCAATGGTTGGAGGATACACAAGGACAGCCACCTGAAGCCCAGCCCAGCAGCTTATCTATGGTCTATCTCTAGCCCTCAAGTGCAAAGAGAGCCAGACTGTCCCTCCCAAAGCCTCCCAGCTCCAGGCCTACCTTGCGTTTCCTCTTGGATTTTGGCAAAGTCTTTTCGGCAGGTGTGTCTAACGCATGGCTGGCTGGCGCACTGTCATTGTCCTTGGCTGCAGGAGCACTCAAGATCCCAGGCTCCTGGGACAGGTGTTCTGGGATCCGGGACAGGAGGGTCAGGTCAATTTTGACCCAGAGAGACCTGACCTCATCACTGTCCTTTAGAGGAGAAAGCAGTTCATTCCGGCCAAAGGGGACCAGCGTGTAGAACTGTTCCTCTAGCTCCTTGGCAATGTCACTGGTGGTCCTGGCGTTGATGGAGCCCACAGGGGCCCGGGAGGTGCTGCTGTTGCTGCTACCGGCCTCCTTTAGCCGAGGCTCGCTCCCAGCGGTGGTCTGAGTCTTGGACAGGACATATTCCTCTTGCTCCGATTCCAGGTCCGAGTCCGAGGAGGAAGAGGAAGAGGAAGACTCTGTCTCAATAAATTCCTTGGATTTAGGGACAATTCTGCTCAGCCCCCGTGTGCGCCTTTTTTCACAGGTCACGGAGGAGCGCAGCTCCTTGCGGTGGCTGGTCCTGCTGTTACCACAGGGCCTGGTTTTGGGAGGCTCTGGGGGTCCCACCACACTTGCCCCCAGTGTGTCTGGGGCCACGGGCTCCTCTGGCCGGTGGCAGTTGGCACTGTCCCCAGCTGAGGTTCTCTCTGTGCGCCGGGTGGGCTTCTTGCCCGCTGACCTCCTGGTGGGTGCTGGTGCACTCTCCGTGGGTGCGCTGGGCACTGCAGGTGGCGGGGCAGCTGTGGTCACAGCCACTGCGGCGGCAGGAGGAGACTTCTGCTTTACACTTTTGCTGCCAGGGGCCTTGTTTGCGGTCCTAGGTCGCTGCTCCTCCTTGCAGGCAGTCTTGAGGTCCTTGTCTCTCAGGCTGGCTTGGCAAATCTCAGGAAGTTTCCCGCAGTCCTGGCCTTCATCTTTCACGGGCGGGTAGTATTGATTCCTTTCATTTTGGATCAGAATAGGTGGCTTGTGAGGATTAACTTTGTTTAGCCATTTATCCAGCTGCCACTTGTTAGACGACGCAGGTTCGGCCTGAAAACAAAACCGGGGACAAACAAAACAGCTTTTACAGCAAAGCTCACTTAAAAGGGGCCCTGGCTGTTTTGATCTTGACATTCTCTAAAATTGAACGGTCTAACAACAAACGGTGAAAGGAAGCCCAGGTATGTGGGGCAGCCCTCTGCTGGCACAGAGGATGCCCAGCTGGCCCCTGGCAACTAGCTATCCAGTAAGCAGTTTCAAGTCCACTTAATAAAACAACAGGACAGCCCTGCTTCTTTCCAGCTTACTCCTAGAACTGTGTATGTAGATATACCATTATATATATATATATATATATATATATATATATATATATATAAATGTGAGATTAAATTTGAGATTCTGTTAATTTAATTGGGAAGTAATAACTATGAGGCCCTGAACACTACAACTTTTTTTGGTTTTGACTTGTCATCTTTGAAAAAAATTTGTGAACCCAGGATCATCTCCCCCCATTAGCATACAATTTATATGGAGAAAACAAGTGCTTACTGACAATAGCAGCATCATTGGGAGGGTGGCTCACTGGCAGCAGGGAACACCATTTTCAAATGCACCCGGCATGCCCTGTATGCCTTGGCAGCCTGACTGCATCTACCCTCAGCCTGCTTCTGCCATTTCTTCTGCCACGGTCTGCTAGGAATGTTTGGGCACGGATGACTTCAGAGACCGCTCCTCGAGGCAATTTTGCTAACTCAGAGCAAATCACGGGAGGTTGGAGTTTTCAGACTCTGACCTACAGATCAGCTCATATGGAGGGTGCAGAGTGTTCTGAGACAGAACAGGAAGGGCTGTGTTGATTCCCCTCTCCCTCCCAAAGAGGCCTATAGTTTTGAGTGTGTAAGGACTTAGGTTCCAAAGAGGAGAAAAGTTACGATTTTGCAGAGAACGTTGATTTCTGGAAAAAGCTCACTTATGTACTGCTAGGATTTAATACAGTAAATAGAAAAGATGTCTTCTGTGAATGACACAGGGCAAACATTTATAGAGTCAGAGACACTTTTTTGTTCCCTGTGTGGTTTCTTCTTCTCTGAATCCATGGTGTCACTGCTTCTGGTGCCGGACACTAGCCTAACCCAGCGGTTCTCAACTTTCCCAGGGCTGCGACCCTTTAACACAGTTCCTCATGTGGTGTTGACCTCCAACCATAAAATTATTTTTGTTGCTACTTAACTGTAATCTTGTTAGTTATGAATTGTAACGTAAGCAACTGTTTCCCGATGGTCTTAGGCGACCCCTGTGAAAGGGTCATTCGACCCACAAAGAGTTCACGACCCTCAGATTGAGAACTGCTGGCCTAGAAGAAATGCGTCTGAGTCAGGCCTACTTACCCTGCTCATCATTTCTATCTATCTATCTATCTATCTATCTATCTATCTATCTATCCATCATCTATCTATTTACCTACCTATCACTTATCTGTCACCTATCAATCATCTATCTATCCATCCACATCTACCTACCTACCTATCTATCATCTACACCCTATCTATCATCTGTCTACTTGCCTACCTATTACTTATCTGTCATCAATCAATCAATCAATCATCTATCATTGTGATGGCACGCTGAACCTTGCACCTGCTAGGTAAACAACACTCCTGATCTCCACTTCCAGACTCTGAGCATTGTGTTTTAAACTTGTCAGTCATAAACCTAGAGGCAGAATCAGTCAGATTCTTTGATGTCAGAGGAAAAGTTTGCAACATAGGAAATTCTAAGATCCTCCCTGGCATATCAAGACGTATTTTTCAACAATGAGGTGCATATCGTGAGCAGAGCTTGGGGCTCTGAGTGTAGTTATATATCTAAGTGGGCGAGGAGAGGGCTGTGTCTGAGATACGAGGTTGCTAGACAGGTCTGCAGGAGTTGAGGGCACACCCATTTAGGGAGATGGGAAACCTCTGCTAACATCAGGGGATGGAGCCAGCAGGAACTGGCCACAGTATGGTGTCCACCAACCACAGCTGTGCTGGGGAGCAGGGACATCCTGCTGGTCGCTCTTAACACCGAGATCAGCTTAGTCTCCCTTATTCCAAACACTTTGGGCCATGACTTCTTCAGGTTTTGTGTTATTTTTGGACTTTAGAATATCTGTATGTAATTATGAGATCATTTAGAGATGCAACCCAAGTCTAAACGAGCCCATTCCCTATGATGAGATGCCATACTCAGCCTTAATGAAGGGGAGAGGGGCTTGGTCCTGCCCCCAACTTAATGTGCCAGACTTTGCTGACTCTCCATGGGAACCCTTACCCCCTGGGAGGAGTGGATGGGGGGTGGGGAAGTAAGTGGAGGTGAGAGGAAGGGTGGGAGGGAAAACTGTGATTGGAATGTAAAATGAAATAAAAAATTAATAAAAATAAAAAAGTCATTAAACCATATCTGATGGCATGTGTCTGTGAGTGGTGTGTATACATGCGTAAGTGTGTTTCAGCACACACCACAGCATGCATACAGAGGTCAGAGACAACCTCTTGTGCTAGCACTCATCCTCTACCTTGCTGGAGATAGGGTCTCTGTTGTTTGGTGCTGCTGATGGCTAGCTGGCCTGCCAGCCTCCTTCCATGCATTTTCCTGGGTCTACCTCCCTCCCATCTCTCTGCAGAAGGCCTTGGAGTACAGACATGAGCGGCCATGCCTGGCTTTATGGGGTTCTCAGCTCCTCACCCTTGTGCACCAAGCACTTTACTTACAGGGCTACCTCCCAACCTCCTGGCGGTAATTTTGTACAGTTTTAAAAGCAGCTCAAGGGTCCTGGAGTTTTCCACCTGCGGCCCCATGGTGGCACTCTTTGTGGGCTGCAGACTTTAGAGCATTTGGATTGGGGTACTCAAGCTGTTATCTTCTTGTTGCCTCTGAATGTTATACGTGATTTTCTGCTTTCTTTGGCTGCTCCAGAGAAAGGGAGGAAGAGAAGCCTGCAGAGGATGCCTCGCTTAGACTACAATGGAGGCAAGTGGGAAGATAAGGGACACAGAACCGCTTCTTTCCAAGGGGGCTCCTGAACCTTCTGAAGAGCATCCGAAAGCTAATTTTAGCTCCTTTTTGGCACAGAATCTGGCTGGCCTTGAACTTAATAAGCAGCCTTGAATAGCCTTGAACTTCTGACCCCCTTTCTCCTACCTCCCTAGGGCTGGGATTACATGTGTGAGCTACCACACTGGGTTTACATAACCTGGGGGATGGAACTCAGGACCTCATGGATGCTAGGCAATCGGTCTACTGATTGAACTGCACCTACAGCCCCCTGAAAGCTAATTTGATGGCAAATATGCATAGGTTCCAAGTCTGTCTCCCCAAAATGCTTTGTGCCATGTGGTCTGTGGAAGCAGCAGGGGCCTTGAACAATGGGTTTGTGTGGCAGAGAGGGCTCAGTCACCAGACAGAGCGCAGCACTCAGATACTTGCCGCTGTGTTTGACACTAGGTCCCCCATCGACCCCACGCTTCCACAGCTCTTGTGTGAGACAACACAGAAGTCTATTTGTAGCCTAAACACAGCTGCATGTGGGGAGAGTCTCACTGGAACCTCAGAGCGGGACCATTAACGGCGAATTGTAGAATTTCATACACTTAGGACGGGCCCACTGCCAGATGTACTCTAGGGTCATTTTTTTCCCTCTTGTACTTCACAGCTGAATGAATCAGTCTGAAGTATCATTTTCAACACATCACTAAATCACATTCCCTTTCTCAAGGGTCTACAATAACCTCCTATTGCCTCTTAGACAAAATCCAAATTCCCAGACTGGCATTCAAGAGCCCATCATCTTGGAATCATCTGTCACTGCTAGAGCACCTACAGTGTGCCTCCCACTCTGCATACCTCCTCCAATTTAATCGTTACAGATAAGGAACGCTATCTCTAATTTGTGGATGAGGCTCAGAAAGGCTAAGTGACACGCCGTGGCTGCACGGTTCCCAGGCTCTGCCAGGTGCACAGAGTGGGTTCTTGCACTTGCTGACTCCCCTCCCCCACACTCTGAGTCGCCTTGTGAAAGGGATCTCATTCTTCTGAGAAGCGTCGGTCCTGAACCTAAAAACAAGAGTTTTAGATATGCTTTTCAGAGAAAACATGACTCTTGGCAGACAATGTCTGCTGTTCTCTATGGCACCCAGTGGCATAGCCTTTGGGTGTTTGTTTCACGGGCATGTAACGTGGAGCATCAATGCAGTCTACACTTCTTTCAGGCTAGGGCCAGCTCTTTTTTATTGCCTTACAACAGTCACACCAGGGCTGGGAGCTTGATGGCCATGCTTCTGCTCTCAATCTATACTGTTTATTCCTCAGAGATTAGGGAGAAGTGCTGGAGCCGTGGCTGTCATGGTGGAGGGGAGGCCACTGTGGTCACGGAAGCTCAAAACAATTGAGTGATCTGAGACTTTGCATTCCAGCCCACCACCATGCACTGGTGATACCCAAATCCTGAGGTTATCACTGAGACTTCTGCCCAGGGTTTGGATTTGTTTTCTGGCGGCTCACTGGGTTCTATGTATGACCAGAGCTCTCTGCCCTGATCAGCCTTTGGGCTGATTCACATACAAGCTCACCATGAACATTCCCACTTCATTCACCCCTTTACAGCACACACTGCCATGTGGCTCAGAGGTGCCTGATTAACAGACTGTGCTTCTGTTAGCACAAGCAATGTGCTTCACGTTTCTGCTGACTGTAAAAAGGAATCTGAAGTGGTCTTTTATAAAATGTATTTTCTGCTCAGGTCCTTCATGAAGACCTGTCATGGTCAGATCCACCAGGGAACGGTCACAATGGAAAATGTAGTTTTATAAGAGCAGCATCTAGGGCCCAGAGGTATCCAGTATAAAGACATGACATTAACCTGCTTTATCCAAGAACTCATATGATGTGACCAAGGTCTTTCTGTAGGGACTCTGGCAATCCTGGGCCAGGAATCCCTGTGTGCAGTCAATGTGGCAGCTGCATGGAGAAGCAGATTCCACCCATGAGAAGCATTGGCATGAAAGAGTATATACCCAATGCCAGGAAAAAAAAAACCATGCAAGAAAAACCAAATGAAAGTCAAATGAACAGTCTAGCATAGGGCAGCCCAGAGGGGATTCACAGCTATGTACAAGCTGACAGAGGCTTTTATGTGATGGCACTCCAAAACCTGGCCTGGCCATGCTGGGGTGATTCACAGACGATGAAATGGTTTGCAGCAATCATATGCAGAAAGAACAGTTTGTAGGAGTATCGGTGGGGCAAAGGAGCTTTCTAAGCACTGGCAGAGTGGAGGAAGAATGTGAGGACATCCGAACACGAGTGCTTCCTCCACTTCCATGAGAAGGATGGTCTGGAAGAGAAGTGAGGGCCAAGGCCATTTGCTTCAAGGCTGCAAAAGTTGAGTCTGAGCAGTGGACTGAGGAGTGTGGTTGTCAGAAGCTGGCCTATCACACGAGGCTTGTAATACAGGGCTCTGTGCTGTCTGCTAGGTCGTCTAGGCCAGCCACCTCCAAGAGAAGCAGAGTCTCTCTGCTACCTAGGACTGTGATGCTCAACTCATCCACACTGTCGTTCCTACAGGCTACGTGTCTGTGCTCACCTTGGGTTAAAGGGTGAGGCTTAAAGAACCCGACTCTTACTCCAACAAGTACACACATCCTTTGCAGCAGTAAGGAAGACTGGGTAGTGTGGTTAATGCATTGCTCAGCTCCTGCTTTCCCTCCATAGAGAAGGAAGGAAGTGGAAATCTCATATGCTCTCTCACAATTCAGACTTCAGAGGTCCCCCTCTGTAGCCAGGGACTTCTGAGAGCTTCAGAAAGAACTGACAAAAGCCTCCATCCACCGCCCAGAATTGCAGGTTTGATGCTTTTACAGAGCACATTGCTGCTCTCCAGTCAAACTTGAGGCAGCTCAGGAGCCCTAGTCACTTGTTACTTTAACCAACCAAGTCACAGAGCAAAACCTGGGTAGGAGGCTTCAGTCCCCGCCCCTTTCGATTCACCCCACCCCTGGCTGGTCACTGTCCTGGGATGCAGAACTTTTCTTTCACTTTCTCTCTTTCCCCCTTTCTGGTAAAAGGTACTGAACCCAGGGCTCTGTGAATGCTAGGCAAGTACGCTAGCATGGACTATATGCCTAGCTTTATTATTATTTATAATTCAATATCTCAATGAATTGTAGTAGAAGGTGGATACTAATAAAGCTCAATTACCTCCTGTATTTTATTCTCCTTAATGCCTATACTTTTCTATTTCAGATAATTCCCATTGGAATGCTAGCTCTGGGCCAACGGGACATTTTCTGTCATGTAACTTAAATTCCCAAGCCCAGCCAAGTACTACGGCTGATGGTTCATGCATATTTACTGAATAAATTCTGAATGAATGAATGAATGGTGAGGGGGGATAGTGGCTCAGATTCTGGGAATAGTCAGGGTAAAATGAATAGGTAGTGTAGCTAACTAGGTCTTCGATCTTATGTCTAAGGACAGAGGCAGATACAGAGACACACACAGCTGGGTAGACAGGTGGGAACTCCGTGGAGAAGAGAGAACAAACTTCTGAGGAAAGGCTTGTTTTAGGATGAATGGCGAGTTTGCCATGATGCAGAAAGGGGCCGGAGAGCAAAGAAGGGTTGTGGGGGCATAGAACAAAAGCCTGCACAGGTGTGAGGGGCCCTCTGTGAACTTGGAATGGGGACGTAACTCCTCCAGGGGTGGCACAGGTATGACACGGGGTGTGCATGCTCCACAAGGTGCCCACACCTGCTTTTCACAGGTGAACTTTTCACGAGTGGGTCTGCCTTCGTGTCTCAGGGCCTATTTGGGATCTCGGTCCCTTAGCACAGAGGGTATAAACAAAGCCTTTCACCCAACAACCCACAGTGACGTCAGCTGTGTATATTCTCAAGAGGAGGCAGTTTTATTCATTATTTAGAAACCAAAGTCTGCCCTCACAGCCCCACAGGCCTGAGGACCTGGTTCTCGGCCCCCACCCAAGAATCCCCGGACTCTGAGTTACTGTTTAATTTCCTCCATTCCACTGAAAGTAGAAACAGCAATGGATTTTATTGGTACCTTATAATGTTTTTCTATGAGGCACCTAAATCTTCCCCTTAGATACCGATCACAGCTGTAAAAGGTTTCATTATTATTTGTAGGTGCATGCTAATTTCCCCCTTTATATTTTCACAAAGAAAACACAGTAAGGGCGGTTTTATTAATATTTATAGCCCTTGTTCTTCTGATCCGTGACAAACTGCAGAAAGGTAAGATTCTAAGCATGCCCAACGCATAAAACTCTTTGGCCTGTGATTTATGGGTGGTCACACTTCCCAAGTGACAAACTTCTCTGCCTGGTTATTGCTTGGGATGACCCTGAGGGGGAGACCCCAGCCATGGGTTATTTCCTGCCAGTGATGTTTATAGCATATGTGGAAATTTCTGGAAGCCGAATAGAGATTTTTAGACAGTAAAAGCTGATGCTTTGTCATCACGAGACAGGGAGGAGGGGACACAGCCGGGAATAGAGAGCAGAGTCCCACAGCCCACAGCTTGTTCCAGGTTGGGGGACAGCAGGACGGTGGGGTAGGCAGGCAGTATGAAAGCCAGGGCTGGAGGGTCGCTGGCCTTGGAGCCGGAGCCGGAGCCAGCAGCTGCTGCCTACCTCGGGGCTGGAGCAGTGTGGAGGCTTGCTGCCCTCGCTCTCACTGGAGCTGCTCTCGGTCTCGGAGTCGGATCCAGAGCTGCTCTCTGAGTCGCTGGAGGAGCTGCTGCTGCCGCTGCCGCTGCTGCCGCTGCTGCCGCTGCCGCCGCCGCCGCCGCTACCCTTGCTGGATGGCACAGAACCTCTGCAGTTGGTCTGCTGGGCCACAGAGCTGCCGGTCCACCAGGCCCCCCAGGAAGGAAAGGGAAAGAAAGCCAAATGAGCAAACAGGAAACACCAGCAGGCTGCCATCCTGGCAAAGGCAAGGGGAGGCGCAGACTGCACACATCTGTCAACCAGGACCTAGACTCACACGGCAACCGTCAAGACCCAAAGCAGCCAAAACCAGACAAAATTAGGCACAGAATTAAACCCAGAAGGAGCAGTCCCTTTGGTCACTGGGCACTGGCTAGATGTGTGGCGACTTCAGAGGAAGGGGTTGTACCAGCCTGGCACTTGTTTCAATGTTGCTGCTGTTCTCAGAATGTTTTTTTTTTTCTTCAAATGCATCTCTGATTCTGAACACCTACACAAATTCAAGAAAACCCCAAAACCTCAAAATATTTTGCAAACTGTCAAAAGTAACGTTATCTTTGCTTTAGAGGGAAATGTCAGATGGAAAGGAGGCTGCCAGGAAGGCTACAGGGATTTGCTGTTTCATGGCCTGCTGGAAGCTTCCAGAGAATTTGGGACTGTCAAAAGTTAAATGGCTTGCTTCGTTCTTTTTTTTTTTTTTCCACTGTGGAGTTCAGTGCTGTAGTCATTATGGATGCTGGCATGGTGTGTGAATGGTAGCTTCTGAGTCCTTCACGAAAGAGTGGATGATCCTTCACAAACACATCTTTACATCCTACATTTAAAAGAATCACCCCCAGAACAGTGGCTTTATACAGGCGTCTCCAGCTGACACCCAACAAGAACACATGTGTTAAAATCTGTTACATCGTCCCTTTATGCTCAACGGCAACAGGAAAATCTGATTCGTACTTTCAAACAGTAATTAATTAACCACAAAAATCCAGATATCAAGGATCCACCAAAGAGCGCTTCCGTCACAAATGAAATGCCAGTATTACATATTACTCAACCTTTTCTAGGCCATCTATGAAATTGAACTGAAACATTCCTGGATGAATCCCTCTGAGGTTAAGCTTTAATCTCAGAAAATGCTGGTCACTTTTGAGGTGTCTGTAAGAGTCTGTTTGCCACTTCCCAACTGTGATTAGAGGCTTCTACAGCACTGAACTTCCATGAAGAATGAGGTTTGGGGGCTCCTTAGGGTTTATGGTCTCAAGTGCCAAGGAGCTCAGGCATGGTAAAAGCTTCCTTCCACCCATCTCTTAAATCTCAGAATGCTCTGCCCTAAGGGGAATCTCATAAATACTGGAGTCTCTGCTTCTCTTATGGAAACCACAAGAAAAGAAACCATCCCAGGGAATCTGGCCATAAAAGCACCTTTGTGACTGGCAGAGTTAGGGAAGCTGACTTGAACATGAACACTCATGCTGGCTTCCACGTCTTCCTGCTAGTGCCTTGGTCTACACATACTATCTGCCTGAACCCTTCACCATCACACAACACCTGCAGGCTCAGCGGCAGAGATCTGGTTTCTGGTTTCAATCCTGTCACTGGTGTCTGACGTTGAGGGAGGGATCTGGGATTTTGAGATGGAGAGGAAAAGAGACAATTCATGTTGACTGAATAATATCTTTTCCTCATGAGTGAAATCTACCTTCCAGGTGACTGAATGGTGAAGGCTACTCTCAATAGGATTATTGTCACGGGAGGGGGCTGCTATCAATGGAGCTATGGAGAACCCCTAAAACACACTCGGGTTTTTTTTCCTCTCTCTCTCCCTCACACCCACCACCACCACCACCACCGCCACCGCCGCCGCCACCACCACCACCACCACCACCAACAACAACAACAACAAAAACACACAGAGAGCAAAGGTGCACATAGCCCAGAATATTTTTCCTCATGAAAAAGATGGTAGGGACAGGCAGCAACCACAGAGGTAGATCTCCATGCCATACTCTAGGGTGACATTTCCTGAAGGCCAGGAAATAAAGATGAACAAAGGTTATTGTGATCAGTTTTATAAAATTATGGTCAACGCCCTCAATCAGTACCTGTTGCTTGTTCGAATCGACACGGTGTAGAGTGTACAAGCACAGTCAAGGTGGGTGGGACTCAAATATCTCAAACACACCTTTGAGATATGTCCAGCTTTATTCTGGGGGGACGTGCTTGCTAAGGCCCTGACTTAGTTGACAAGGATGCATCCCTTCTAGAATCTGGCCCAGGTCTGAATACAGGCCATAAAAGAAAAGACCCAAAATGGAAACGAAACACCCTGGATCTCATAGATAAGCTGCTGCCACAGCTTCCGAGTGACAAATGACCAGGGAGGGGTTCCCTGTCATTTCCTGGGATGGTGACATAAATGTTATAGGCTTGAAGGCTAGTAAACACTTGGTAACATCTCAACAAATACGCCTGTTGCCCAGCCACCACCAGGCCTGGGTGATCACTGTCCTTTAGTGGTAGCATCTCCACTGATAGCAGCTGGACTACAGCTATGACCTCACAGGGGAAGCAAGGGACATAAACAGTGCTGAGGCATTTCTCCAGGACAGAGTCCCCTCTCTCCTGTTGTGGAATGTTATTTTAAGATGTGTTACGGTTGTTTAAGCTGTGGAACATCTGTTTAATGATGCAAAGATGAGCTGCATTCTTTCGTGTTGCATTTGTTTAACTCTGTGAAGCTGTGGCTCTTTTCCTGTCTTAAAACACCTGATGGTCTAATAAAAGAGTTGAACAGCCAATAGCAAGGCAGGAGAAAGGATAGCCAAGGCTGGCAGGCAGAGAGGATAAATAGGAGGAGAAATCTGGGAAGAAAGGATAGAGGAGCAGGATAAGGAGGAGGACTCTAGGGACCAGCCCAGATACACAGCAAGCCGTGGAGTAAGCCATGAAGCCAACCTGGTCTACAAAAGCTAGTTCCAGGACATCTAGGACTGTAACACAGAGAAACCCTGTCTTGAAAAACAAAAAAACCAGAAAAACAAAAAATAGAGAAACCCTGTTTTGAAAAACAAACAAACAAACAAAAACAGAAAAACAAAAAATAGAGAAACCCTGTCTTGAAAAACAAAAATCAGAAAAACAAAAAATAGAGAAACCCTGTCTTGAAAAACAAAAAACAAAAAACAAAAACAGAAAAACAAAAAATAGAGAAACCCTGTCTTGAAAAACAAAAACAAAAACAAAAAAAACCAGAAAAACAAAAAATAGTGCTGTTTATACCAAATTCTTTTGTTTGTTCTCCTTCTTCCAGGAGCAATGTCTCTATTTTACATGGCTTTTGATGCTCTTCATGGTTGAGTCCCTATCATGACTCCAGCTTCATTTCAATGAGTCTGCCCTGGATCCTGACCACTGTCCATGTCTCACCATCTTGGTGGGCTACTGCCCATTCAAACTGAGACCTTTGTACATGCTACCTCCCGCTTCACAAGTCCTTTCTCCCTTTCTTCTTCTGGCTTCTTCCTTTTACCCATTCTCTGAGGACTGGGATGAAGTGGTATCCTCTCCTGGTGAGCTTTGCCCAGTGCCCCAGATTCACCTGAGGCTTCCTCCTCTGGGTTTGTCTAGCACATTGCTCATTGAGCTACTGATCTCACCAAGGACAGGAATGGTTATATTATTCAAGCCACACAGATGGACACACACACACACACACACACACACACACACACACACAGCTTCCCTAATACTTTAGGGATGCCCAAGGATTCCATCAAGCTACCACTTGCATTATGGGTTGATAACTGAAAAGTTAGTATCACAGGGTCTAGCAAGCAGCATAGAAGAGAGAAGTATGCAGATCTGACGCCTAATGTTCAGCGGTAAATCCTGGACCCTGGAATTCCCAGTGGGGTAGGTACAAGATTGGAGGGGCTTCTTGGGTTTAAGGTAAGCCCCATTGCCAAGATCTCTCGGCTCTACAGTTGTAACAGTCCAGTGAGGTAAGGTGTTTAGACTTTCCAGAGGAAGGCCTCAGTCTGGTGGTTGGATCAATTGTCCTAATTGAACATAGTGCTAGGAATCTGAAGTTTTAACACATTTTGTTGCATTGTAGCAATGAAGGGCACCTGTGGGCCAGGTCACAGGACTAAGAATCACAGGTGCCCTCCCGACAGCACTCTAGAAGTTGGGGTGGTTCCAGTGAGGACAGACAGACCACGACACTCAGCTAGGGATTAGACAGGCAGAAAACCACAGCAGACTTGTTCTCATGGCCTGCTTGTTTTTCAAGGTATTTATTTATTTTATTTATTTATTTATTTTTTTTTTGTGTGTGTATGTGTGTGTATATGCCAATGCCATGTATGTATGGTTGCAGAGATGGAATTACAAACAGTTGTGTGCTGTCTGATGTGGGGGTTGAGACCCAAACTCTTAACTCTTGCTTTGAAACACTGAGACACCTCTTCAACTTCTATTAAAAAAATTGCATTTTGTGATGATTAGTGATTCGTTCAACACTGTAAAAATATTACAGTGACCTTCCATGTGTCCTCCATGCAGTGGTTACATTTTAGGTAATAAGATGGATCGAAACATCAAACCACAAAATGACAACATCACAACATGGCTCCAGCTCTGTGTTGCATCACAGGCTTGGATTCCTGCCAACACATGGGGATTCCCTCTCCAGGTTCCACCTGGGACTTAGAACCACAGCCTCTTTTCTGCCACTGCCCCGGTCATGCCAGTGCCTGGCAAATACTGATCTCTTTGCACTTCCAAAATTTCATTGTTTTGTAAATAAAACACTCTATAAGGCCTTTGTAAAAATCAGATTTATTCCAATTACCTTCATATACGTATGTCCTTATGAAGCAGGCCCTTTAAAAACACGACCACCACAATGTGCTGAGACCCACTTCAGTTACTGGTATTTATCAGCAGTCTAGTCCTTGTTGCCCAGTTGTATTTCATGGTCATTTAACCACTCATCCATGGAGGGACATTTTGGCTGTTTCTAGCATTGTGCTATTAAAAATAAAATTGCTATCAATACTTTTGTATAGGGTTTTGTGTAGATGTAAAATATCAAGGAATATGCTGAGTTTTAGGATATGTCACTTTTTGGAAAGATAC